GATAATTAAATATTGTTCTAGTTTTAACTCTTGAATGCTTGGTCTTATTTCTGAATCAGATTCTGACACACGTCATGTTTTTGACAATAACACTTAAAGACACTTCCATTCACTCTGCTCTTGGAACAACTTGATTCATTGTTCTTGGCCTTTTCAGCAGAGTCACAAAGAGAACATTTCATCAACAGAGCAGTTCACAAAAAACCACATGTTTCCAGAACGTCGAGAACAGAACAACCGCACAACGTAGATTGTATTGGAGATGTCAGTGCATGTTAGCCTGGCAAACAACTTACTAAATATCACAATTAACATTCAGTCTGGAACTAGGGATGTAAATCGGTGACCGTTTAACCGGTGGTTGACCGTCACAGCGTTAACCGGTCAAAGCTGTCGGTTAAAAATAAGAAAAAGCGGAGAGGGGAGGTCTCTTAATAAGGCTATTAATAAGCCCTATTTGTACGATGTGACGAGCGGGTCCGTATCTAGCTGTGTGCGCCAATGCATTAGTAGACTACGGGCGACTTTCATGGCGCACGCTCCACATATGCACGCAGCCACGCACACGCACGCGCGCGCACACACACACACACACACACACACACACTTTCCCCCCCTCCATACGTAACATCCACACGCATCATCTCTCCCCTCTGTTACCGCCAAAGTTCCACACTAGTGCAGGTCAGAACTACATTGGAGCTTATATTGTACACACACACACATACATGTATTGTACACACACACACATACACACATACATACACACATGTATTGTACACACACACATACCGGTCTGTCGCGCTCCTCTGTGTCTCGCAGCCCAAAGAATCCTCGCAAATACACGGCCCCAGTCAAACACATGAAACATGTTTGTGCTGCTGGTCCTTGTCATTAGATCAGATCCACACACATCACTTTTAAACTTTAGCGGAGACCTGCGAGACGCGGCGTGTAACTCGCTGCCCTGACCATGTGAACAAGCCGTCTTTTGCTTAAAAATGCTTTAAGCCGCAGCACAGTATGGGAAGATTAAAAAAGCAGTTCTCTGTGCGCAAAGGTGCCGAAGCTGTTGCGGGTTTTGGCGCCGCTGTCTCAGCTCTGATCCAGTAGAACGCAGAGATAAACTTATGAAAAGTACGCGGCTCGAAATGGCTGCTATTTCAAAGAACGTGGAATATTTTAAACTACGCGGTTAACCGGTTTCAACCGGTTAATGAGGCTCGGTGGTCGGTCATGAAAATGCATAGTTTTTTACATCCCTATCTGGAACCCATCCCAGAGGTTCACAATGATCCATCAGTTCATTGGGCTGCATGTCTATGTGCACGTATGCACCAATTGTATAAACTCTATATATGTGTGCGATAGCATATGCTGCTGACAGAAATACAACAAAGAGGGAAGGAAAGGCACAAAGGGGTTCCCAAGATAAGTGACAATACTAAAGACAATACTTTTGGGAATTTACAATTGATTATTGAGGTTCTTTCATTTAATCAGTGGCCTTTAAGTTACAAGGCACAAGGAGAAATCTAAGGACTCCAATCAACTTTGAGACACAGCATGTGTTAAAACATGGTTTAAAACTTTGTCAATTGAATGTTGAGCTTTAAATGACATTCAAAGTTATTGGTGTAACAACAGGATTCAGTTATTCCCAACAGTAGCTCACTTGGTAGAGCATTGGCCTTAAAGCCTGAAGGTCGTGGGTTCGAGCCCACCATGAGACCTACTTCACGACTCCCACTGATGACTGCTGTCGTTGTGTTCTTGGGAAAGACACTTAACCCCACTTTGCCTGAAGCTCCCACTGAATAATCAAGGCTCCTGTGGACTCAGCACCTGCAGGCCCACCTCAGTGAGGGGCCGGTGCTCTGAATGCCACCCCCGACCCAGAAATGGATTAAGGGGAAGAAGATGGATGGAGTTATTCCCTATTCAATTCGTAATTAATGACTTGCCACCAGGGGGAGCGGAACTCGCCTGTATTTGGGCATCGTCTGGTCCTCCCGGTTCTGTGCAGTGGACGAGCTCCCATGATGCTTTGCGCAAAATAAGCGTGTGTGGCTCTCATGCACGTGCACAGAGGGGCTCGGCCGCGCTCTGACCAATCAGAGCTGATCAGAGCGGAGTCAGAGCGGGAAGGAAAGGAGCAGAGTTTGTGGCACTAAAGTGTGGATTTAAAGAAAACCGAAGGATTTAAGAAGAAAAAAAGTTCAGGACGACAAGGGGCACTAACATCCACACAAAATCTGATCTTTATGAAAGCTGTAGGTTCTCTGTAGGTTCTCTGTCAGGTTCTCTGTCAGGTTCTCTGTCAGGTTCTCTGTCAGGTTCTCTGTCAGGTTCTCTGTAGGTTCTCTGTCAGGTTCTCTGTCAGGTTCTCTGTAGGTTCTCTGTCAGGTTCTCTGTAGGTTCTCTGTCAGGTTCTCTGTCAGCTGAGGTCCAGCTAATTTAGTTTGCATTGAGTTCTATGGGACTTTTTTCTGGGTAGCCCTCGTGAATTTAGTCTGCAGTACCACAGCGCCCCCTGTGTCCATGGGTGGGACAGCTTTAAGCTAGTAATACTCTATCCAGATATGATCATAGATCAATGCCAATCCGTCATTGATCCTCCTGCGAGTGGTGGGTCTACGGGAAGATGGCTGCTGCTTCATCCACAAAGACATAGCCTTAGTGTTTCAGCTCAGGCTTCAGGCAAATTGGGGTTAAGTGTCTTGCCAATGGACACAACGACAGCAGTGGAAAGGGTGACATGAGTCGTGGTGGGCTCGAACCCGTGACCATTAGGTTTAAAGACCAATGCTCTACCAACTGAGCCACTGTCATCGATCAGAGCAATAATTAGTTTATATAATCTCAATTAGTTTGTATCATCTCTTTCCACACAAAAACATACTTAAACATCAGCTTCACCAGACCAGCGTCTCCAGGGCTAATTACCGTAATAGTCTGTGAGATGATTACTGCAACTACAGTAAAGACAAGTTTCCAAAAGTGCTGTCAAAGCATGAGCACATTAGTGAACCAAGTGGGAACATTCTGCTATGCTTGGAACACTTTTAGTAGTTTCATAATCATTAAGAACAACATTTTCAAGACCAGGTCTGTATCTTAACTCTCAGATTGCAATTATAGTGTCTTCAAAGCCACTTGAACAACATGCATCATGCTAATTGGACCGAACTCTCCAAACTCCATCAACACCAAATTCAGATGAGAACGCAAAGTAATTGGAAATGACACGTTTAGTCGTCTAATAATATGATGTGTCTTAATTAACTTGGAGCTTTGGGGGTCGGTGGAGGACACAGGCTACAAAGGGGAGAAGGCCTGAAGGATCACAGTCATGCGGTGGATTAGAGGAAATGGAGAGGAGCAGAGACAATGCAAGAATATCCCTTGGAGCTGTGCAAAGAAAATCCGACTGCCAAATCCGGCGAACGAGATGGTATTGGTGTGAAATAGCTGCACAGAAGCGGTACAGGATTTTACGCTGGTTATAATGGGCCACACAAAATGGAACAGTCCATTTCAGAGGAATAAAGCGGACCATATCGGGCAAAAAGGAGGTTGGACTGACAGAGCTTTTCAAGTGACATATCACACAGTGTAAGAACTGTTTGTTTAGAAGGTCGACAGTGGTAAAGAGAGGTGAGTCGTTTGAACCCGTGTCAGCTTTCACAACAAGGGAGACAAGAACATTCATTACCAGTCTTCTTAAAGTCATAGCAAAGTGCACCCAGGACCAGAAGAAATAGATTTTTCTATAAATGACCACAATATTTGGTCACACTGAACATTCCTCCCCAGACTAGGTCACCAGGCGAGTTGATATAGAGTTGTTCTGACGACAGGCCCATCAGTGTGGGGGGAGTGAGCCTTAAAAAGCGCACATTCTGCACTAGTCCAGGAGTCAGTGCACCCCTCCTGCCTTAGTGCTGACATACCGCTCCTGTCCCGGGCCGAGCTCTGGTTTCCCCTCTGCACCAGCACCTAGACAACCACAATGGTGCACAGATAAACAGGACCTGCATTTCTTTCTATGAATTTGTGACTAAGTATAGCTGAGGGATGTGCATGCATCATTACATCAGCTTTGCCTGGTCTTCACAGTCATGGAGCTATTTATATCTCCCACAGCACAGTTTACAGTTGTAGTCAACACTCAGACAGCTGAATGTGGACAAACACGTAACCTGCAGTTGACTCAGATACTATAACAGAGATAATATTTACCAAACATACAGTATAAGCCCAGAAGTGGCTTATCTGCTCCAAATGATTCTCAAACAGATTGAATTTTCTTAGATCTTACAACTACTTGCTCAGAACTCCATCAATGCTTTCTCTTTTACAATGATAAATACTTATTATAAATGCTGCAGACATCACTGGTGCTGAAGTGTGGGAGTATTGTAAGATAATAATGCATCAGTTATTGCCTTTTCAAGACACTCAAACGCTTCACATGGAATTATACATTCAATCCATACACAGTGGTGGGAAACTATACTGTAGGCACAGCTGGCCCGGGGCACACTGATGGAAGTAAAGCAACTACTCACAGCACACACCAGACTAACACTGGGAAATGTGGGTGAGCAAGTGTCTTGCCCAAGGACACAATGACAATTTGGCACCTGGTGTTCCCAGAGGTCTCGCATCACAGTAAAAAACCCTGCCCTGGCTCTGATAGAATCAGACATAGCCAACATTATCAATATTTGTAATTAAAGAGGACTTTTCTCAGCTTTAAGCTTTATGGTATAGTGCTTTTCATACTACACTATAGTATGAAATACTTTTCATACTACACTATAGTATGAAATAGTGTCATTCACACATTCCCCCAAACACTCCAGATCAAGCCCCACAGCTTTTAGGTCAAATGTTTGGAAATATTTTGTTTTTGTTGCATGAAAAGACAAGAGAGACCAGCGAAGTGTACCAACCCCAAAAGGTTTGGAGCAGGGGTCTCAAACTCATGTAGGGTTCTATCTCAGGTCTGCATGAGGTCCAGTCTGCATGAGGTCCAGTCTGCGTGAGGTCCAGTCTGCATGAGGTCCAGTCTGCGTGAGGTCCAGTCTGGGTGAGGTCCAGTCTGCGTGAGGTCCAGTCTGGGTGAGGTCCAGTCTGGGTGAGGTCCAGTCTGCGTGAGGTCCAGTCTGGGTGAGGTCCAGTCTGCGTGAGGTCCAGTCTGCGTGAGGTCCAGTCTGGGTGAGGTCCAGTCTGGGTGAGGTCCAGTCTGCGTGAGGTCCAGTCTGGGTGAGGTCCAGTCTGCGTGAGGTCCAGTCTGCGTGAGGTCCAGTCTGGGTGAGGTCCAGTCTGGGTGAGGTCCAGTCTGCGTGAGGTCCAGTCTGCGTGAGGTCCAGTCTGGGTGAGGTCCAGTCTGGGTGTGGTCCAGTCTGGGTGAGGTCCAGTCTGCGTGAGGTCCAGTCTGGGTGAGGTCCAGTCTGCGTGAGGTCCAGTCTGGGTGAGGTCCAGTCTGCGTGAGGTCCAGTCTGGGTGAGGTCCAGTCTGCGTGAGGTCCAGTCTGGGTGAGGTCCAGTCTGCGTGAGGTCCAGTCTGGGTGAGGTCCAGTCTGGGTGAAGCCGGGCCGTATTCAGAGGCGTATTTATCTGTTTGTGTGAAGAGCGTTGGTAGAAAGTTTTATAGTTCTTTGTATCCTTGACTTGTGATAATCATGAAGGTATTTTGACCAAATAATTACGTTTATTGATTATGAGCTTTATATATATTTTTTATATTTCTATGAACAAAATGAAACAAAAGTGGACAAAAAGCAAAGAGGCAGTATTGCAGACTGGGTGGTCACGGGAACATTAGTGGTCACGCGAGCAGACTGAAATAACTCAAAAATACAAAATACAGCCAAAACAGGACTAAACCAGGACGAAACCAGGACGAAACCAGGATTGACAATGGGGTCACAGTAGTTGTGAACATATGCCAGTCTGAGTTCTCATTCAGGCTCTAGTAGTGACCAAACTAGCGCAGCTAGCGTTAGCGTGATGCGGAAGTACCGTTTAATATAATAATAATAATAATTAATAATAAAATAAACTGATGGTGCACCTCCGTGTTATATAAAGTCACCTCCGTGAACACATACTGCTGTTATATAAAGTCACCTCCGTGAACACATACTGCTGTTATATAAAGTCACCTCCGTGAACACATACTGCTGTTATATAAAGTCACCTCCGAGAACACATACTGCTGTTATATAAAGTCACCTCCGTGAACACATACTGCTGTTATATAAAGTCACCTCCGTGAACACATACTGCTGTTATATAAAGTCACCTCCGTGAACACATACTGCTGTTATATAAAGTCACCTCCGTGAACACATACTGCTGTTATATAAAGTCACCTCCGTGAACACATACTGCTGTTATATAAAGTCACCTCCGTGAACACATACTGCTGTTATATAAAGTCACCTCCGTGAACACATACTGCCGTTATATAAAGTCACCTCCGTGAACACATACTGCTGTTATATAAAGTCACCGTGAACACATACTGCTGTTATATAAAGTCACCTCCGTGAACACATACTGCTGTTATATAAAGTCACCTCCGTGAACACATACTGCTGTTATATAAAGTCACCGTGAACACATACTGCTGTTATATAAAGTCACCTCCGTGAACACATACTGCTGTTATATAAAGTCACCTCCGTGAACACATACTGCTGTTATATAAAGTCACCGTGAACACATACTGCTGTTATATAAAGTCACCGTGAACACATACTGCTGTTATATAAAGTCACCGTGAACACATACTGCTGTTATATAAAGTCACCTCCGTGAACACATACTGCTGTTATATAAAGTCACCTCCGTGAACACATACTGCTGTTATATAAAGTCACCTCCGTGAACACATACTGCTGTTATATAAAGTCACCTCCGTGAACACATACTGCTGTTATATAAAGTCACTGTGAACACATACTGCTGTTATATAAAGTCACCTCCGTGAACACATACTGCTGTTATATAAAGTCACCTCCGTGAACACATACTACTGTTATATAAAGTCACCTCCGTGAACACATACTACTGTTATATAAAGTCACCTGTGAACACATACTGCTGTTATATAAAGTCACCGTGAACACATACTGCTGTTATATAAAGTCACCTGTGAACACATACTACTGTTATATAAAGTCACCTCCGTGAACACATACTGCTGTTATATAAAGTCACCTCCGTGAACACATACTGCTGTTATATAAAGTCACCTCCGTGAACACATACTGCTGTTATATAAAGTCACCTCCGTGAACACACACTGCTGTTATATAAAGTCACCTCCGTGAACACATACTGCTGTTATATAAAGTCACCTCCGTGAACACATACTGCTGTTATATAAAGTCACCGTGAACACATACTGCTGTTATATAAAGTCACCGTGAACACATACTGCTGTTATATAAAGTCTCAGACACAGAGACGCTGCATTATTGGAGAAGAACTTTACACAAAAAGCTTAATACTTAAAAGTGTATTTCTCTTTGAAAAGATGTCCCTGCATCATTATCTTTGTATTGATGAAAAAGATGACAATATTATTGTTTTTTGCAAAAAATTAATTGTCCAGCAAAATGTGTTATCGTGACAGGCTACTTTACGTTACTAAATTGTTGATAGTTAACACTTCTTCTTTTCTCTGGACAAAGTAGTTTTGTTAGTGCAACACGTGCTACACCCAACACTGTTCAGAACTAAACATTATTTTCCAAGTGTCTGATCTAACATCAAAGAATAGTATTTGTTCTTTAATTATATATTATTTACATGATCCTTTATTGGAAAAAAAAAACAATAAGTTGGTAATTGCTGCCAGCAATTCCAGCTGGCCTGGGAACGCCTTGGAGTCCCCCCGGACGAGCTGGAGGAGGTGTGTGTGGATAGGGAAGTCTGGGCGTCTCTGCTTAGACTGCTGCCCCCGCGACCCGGCAACGGATGAATCGGAAGAAAATGGATGGATGGATGGAAGTTAGTAATTGGCTTAGCAGACTCCCAAAAGGCCTCATCTTCAAAAACAAGACCAATCTGTGTTTCAGCAGTCTGTAATCCTGGTGTTTTATTTTTATATTTTGATACACAGAAAATAAAACTTCAGCATCCTGAGCAGCCAGAAACAACGACTTGGCCGAGTATTTCTTCAGTGTGAGGACCGCGGTGGATCTGAGCAGGCTCCATTCTCTGACTAGAAACAGTAAGAGCCAAAAGCTCTGTCTTTGAGCATGATGTAAACTGTCCGCGAGTATTGACCCATGATAAATTAGGGGGACACTGGCAATGAGATGTCTTAATCAGCTAACGATACTGCACATGCCTGTCATGGGGCCGCAAAGGGAGATTTAGATGTTACACTCGTCAGTGTCGGTGCAGTAGATCCAAGACTGTTGCAGGGTTGCAATCACGTCACCTAAAGAGCCATGGGACAGGAAGTGATCCTCTCTCATTCGTTAGATAACGGGCACACAGAGCTTTTCACTTTGGTATTACTCTTATTGTGAAACAAAACTATCTTAAATACAGAGTAACCCTTGCATAGTTTGAATTAGTTCAATATTTTCAACAATGAGAAGGATTAAGCGGCTGTTATAGTTGAAACACTCTGGGATCAACAGAAACCACGTCAAAGATTCTGATAAATAATTAAATAAATAGGGCATGAATGTTACTTTTAACAACATTGGAGGAGACAATATTACCCTTTATTGTCATCGCATTGATCATACTCTCTCCTGCTTAAGAACAATATACACATCTGTAAATACTTTTGACCCAAGTGCAATTATACCTGCAGAGTTTATCTTATTTTGATTATATTATTATTCATCCATCCATCCATTTTCTTCCCCTTAATCCATTTCTGGCTTGGGGGGGTGGCAGTCAGAGCACCAGCCCCTCACTGATCCTCCTGCAGGAGCTGAGATCTTTCAGTGGGGGCTTCAGGCAAAGTGGGGTTAAGTGTCTTGCCCAAGGACACAATGACAGCAGACATCAGTGGGAGTCGTGAAGTAGATCTTGCGGTGGGCTCGAACCCACAACCTTCAGGCTCAAAAGCCAATTCTCTACCGACTGAGCCACTGTCGCTCAGTGGTTCGCTCAGTTATATTATTTTATTACTGTATATAATAAACTCTCTGATGTGTGCGTCTGAGTGCTCTTATTTCCTTCTTTCTCTGTAATGTGCAGATGACACTGAAATGACTCCACTGTGAGACCAATAACAGGAATATCTTATCTCTGTGGATGCTGAACACGGCTCGGTTAAAAGACTAGGTCAGGACAAAGGCCCTTCTGACCTCTAACCCCGTCCTTATGAGGGTTGTGTGTATAATGTTGATTTTGTGTCTCTTGATGTTGTGTGGTCACCTATTTGTCTTAGACAGTAAGGAGTAAAACTTGTCAGAAAAGGAAATACTCAAGTGAAGTTAAAGTACTTTCCACCTTGGTTCATACCACGAAACGACAGTCGACGTCATCTGAATACTTTGTGAAACGGAAGATATTCAGTTTTCTGTAAACAGTTGTATGTTCTATGCTCATAACCAAAAATAAGCAGATTGTGTGGACTAGAGACACAAAACAATGAGCTGCAAGCTGTATATCAACATCCAGCTGACACAAGGCATAATAGAACATCAGTGTTTCTAAATAACTATTTTCTGACTGATATTAACCCAGGACCTCAAAGAAATTTAAGTAGGTTATATGGGAAATAAATAGGTAAATAGGTATAGGCAGGTTATATATATATATATTATATATATATATACTGTTGTAATATGTGTCATACATAAACCAATATTTAGACCGAGACGCGATTGTTTTGACTCGAATGCCCTCTCGGAGACAAAAGGACACAGACAACAGGAGCATCAGGAGCATCAGGCGCATGCGCGGTGCCTGAGCACCTGTCCCATCCAAAAGCTCACTCACCCAGCACCCCGGACGGTCCGTGCGTGTGCCCGGGCTCCGTCTTCTCCTGCTCGGCCTGACTCTGCTGCTGTCCGCGGTGTCTGTGCCTGGAGCCCTCCGCCTGGCCCTCCCCGCTGCCCCCGGCCATCACTGCTGTCCCAGGCGCGTCTGGCATGTCCTGCCCTCCCCGGAGGCCCCTGTGTCACCGCACTCACTCAGCTCGGTCTGGTCATGACTACGGGCCGGAGGACAGAGCGGGTGGACGGGCGGAGCTGGGCCGTGCTGTGCTGCTTCATTCCGCTGGTGATGGTGTGGTGGATGCTCTGATGTGTGAGCGGCTGGAGCAGATGGAGAGCAGCCGAGAGGAGGAGGGACAAAGCGGAAGGATGCGCATGCGCACACAGCACAGAATGTGTGATGAGAATAATAAACAACCGTTGTTTGGATGTCGCTATTGGATGCTGGCGTTTTCTTATGTATTCTAGAGAGTCTTCATAGCATTGTGAATTGTTATTGTTATCATCGTTATTATATAATATTTTTTATATTTGATTTATGTTCCGGGAGCAAAGCTACCGCTGGACTGTGTCTCAGCCATGGATCTATAATAATAACTGGATAGAGTATTACTAGCTTAAAGCTGTCCCACCCATGGACACAGGGGGCGCTGTGGTACTGCAGACTAAATTCACGGGAGCTAAACAGAAAAAGGTTCCATAGAACTCAATGTAAACTAAAACAGCACGACCTCAGCTGACAGAGAACCTACAGAGAACCTGACAGAGAACCTACAGATTTCATAAAGATCGGATTTTGTGGGGATTTTAGTGTCCCTTGTCATCCTGAACTTTTTCTTCTTAAATCCTTCGGGGTTTTTTTAAATCCACACTTTGCTGCCACAAACTCTGCTGTTTTCCTTCCCGCTCTGACTCCGCTCTGTAAACCCTAACTTCAATCGTACTTCAGATATCAAAGTTATTTTAAATAGATTTTTCCCAGTAAGTGAATATTACTTATTTATTGTTAGTTTATTTAAAGCTTGGCGATATCACTCAGGGGTTTTCTTTGAATTGAACTCTCTCTGTTCAAGTAAGCCTCACTTTTGACATTTTGACGTGTAGAGTCTTAAATGAGGCAGGTGTGAAATGGGGCAAGGCAGCACGGTGGCTGAGTGGTTAGCACCTTCAACTCTCAACTTCAAGATTGTGAGTTCAACCCCTGGTCGGAGCAAAAATTCTTTGTTGCAATCGCTTGAGTTACTTGGTAATATCAAGTAAAGTATGTACTCGAGTAATTCAAGTGAAGTTAATATGCAATTTATTTCCAAGGTTTTTTCAAGTAAACTTTACTTGTTAGGGTTTACAGTGATTGACTGTAAATATTAACGGACGTAGTCACGCCTATCTCCGCCGTTCTAAGTCATTTGCCACGACTTCCGCGGTCTATGGGCAGTTTCAAAATGGCCGCAGTTATACGGTTCCGTCCTGTCACTCCCGTATTTGTCCCGGAAACCGGATTCGTCCGGAAGTTCAGTTTGATCCAATGAGCAGACGCAGCAGTAGATTACGTCACAAAATCTGGACGGAAGCGGAAGTAAATATAAAAAACTACCTATTAATGCCTAAACTTAACCAGCCATTCCCATAAAATAACCCCAACCCTTAACCCTAACCTTAACCATCTTAATCAGACGCCTAAACTTAACCAGTCTCCACTTAAGGACTTATTAAACTTTTTGACATGCGCAAACTGAACTTCCGGACGAATCCGGTTTCCGGGACGAATACGGGAGTGACACGTCCTGCTCCACCCAGAGGCTACTCCACCTCTGCTGCTGTGACCCGTCCTGCTCCACCCAGAGGCTACTCCACCTCTGCTGCTGTGACCCGTCCTGCTCCACCCAGAGACTACTCCACCTCTGCTGCTGTGACCCGTCCTGCTCCACCCAGAGAATACTCCACCTCTGCTGCTGTGACCCGTCCTGCTCCACCCAGAGGCTACTCCACCTCTGCTGCTGTGACCCGTCCTGCTCCACCCAGAGGCTACTCCACCTCTGCTGCTGTGACCCGTCCTGCTCCACCCAGAGGCTACTCCACCTCTGCTGCTGTGACCCGTCCTGCTCCACCCAGAGGCTACTCCACCTCTGCTGCTGTGACCTGTCCTGCTCCACCCAGAGGCTACTCCACCTCTGCTGCTGTGACACGTCCTGCTCCACCCAGAGGCTACTCCACCTCTGCTGCTGTGACCCGTCCTGCTCCACCCAGAGGCTACTCCACCTCTGCTGCTGTGACCCGTCCTGCTCCACCCAGAGGCTACTCCACCTCTGCTGCTGTGACCCGTCCTGCTCCACCCAGAGGCTACTCCACCTCTGCTGCTGTGACCCGTCCTGCTCCACCCAGAGGCTACTCCACCTCTGCTGCTGTGACCTGTCCTGCTCCACCCAGAGACTACTCCACCTCTGCTGCTGTGACCTGTCCTGCTCCACCCAGAGGCTACTCCACCTCTGCTGCTGTGACCTGTCCTGCTCCACCCAGAGGCTACTCCACCTCTGCTGCTGTGACCTGTCCTGCTCCACCCAGAGGCTACTCCACCTCTGCTGCTGTGACCCGTCCTGCTCCACCCAGAGGCTACTCCACCTCTGCTGCTGTGACCCGTCCTGCTCCACCCAGAGGCTACTCCACCTCTGCTGCTGTGACCCGTCCTGCTCCACCCAGAGACTACTCCACCTCTGCTGCTGTGACCTGTCCTGCTCCACCCAGAGGCTACTCCACCTCTGCTGCTGTGACCTGTCCTGCTCCACCCAGAGACTACTCCACCTCTGCTGCTGTGACCTGTCCTGCTCCACCCAGAGGCTACTCCACCTCTGCTGCTGTGACCTGTCCTGCTCCACCCAGAGGCTACTCCACCTCTGCTGCTGTGACCTGTCCTGCTCCACCCAGAGGCACTCCACCTCTGCTGCTGTGACCCGTCCTGCTCCACCCAGAGGCTACTCCACCTCTGCTGCTGTGACCCGTCCTGCTCCACCGAGGCTACTCCACCTCTGCTGCTGTGACCTGTCCTGCTCCACCCAGAGACTACTCCATCTCTGCTGCTGTGACCTGTCCTGCTCCACCCAGAGGCTACTCCACCTCTGCTGCTGTGACCTGTCCTGCTCCACCCAGAGGCTACTCCACCTCTGCTGCTGTGACCTGTCCTGCTCCACCCAGAGGCTACTCCACCTCTGCTGCTGTGACCTGTCCTGCTCCACTATCTACCTATCGTTCTATCCGTGTCTGTGATAGTTTCCCCATAAACACGAACAGTAGGTAAACTCTTCCAGCCTGAATAGTCCTGAAATATTTGACCAATCTTGCCCACAACAGTTGTAAAGGTCTTTGTGACTCTGGTCTGTTAACGGCGCTATATGAATAAAGATTACTTACTTATAAGTGGCTTTTACAGTTTTTCTCAGTGTCTTTGGTGCATTTCTCAGAACAATTAGTGCAAACTGCAAAACCTCGTGGATAACCTGCAAAAGTGCATCATCTCAAAATGAAAAGTTAATCCCTCAAAAGTAAGTCTTCAAGTCAATCAAACTGTCTGTGTCTCAGAATAATAATTCCTGACACCAGTGTTTATGAATAACTCAGTCACATGACTTAGTCGTGTTTTCATTGTGTGTTTTCAACTGTTTTTTTACTGTTTTTGTGTTTTTGATGCAAAAAAGTCAGATCTTGGTGTCACTTCGGGAGCACTGAGTACATGACACATACTGTATGTATGTATGTGTGCATGTATGTACTGTATGTACTGTATGTATGTGTATGTACTGTACAGTATGTATGTGTGTACAGTATGTACTGTGTGTATGTGTATGTACTGTATGTATGTGTGTACAGTATGTATGTGTGTACAGTATGTATTTCACATATTTACTGCTCTTTGCATTGTGCGACAAAAACACAGTCACTTACAGTATTTTCGTAGAACAAACATTCAGAATATCATGATGGTAGAACTGTGACAAATGTAAACAATAAAACACTCACTTCCTCATGACTGACGCTGAAATTCACCTGAGAGACAGTGTTTAATTTAGGAAAGATTTTCAGAAAAATAAAATGAAGGAATGTATGAAATGAGGCTGACAGATGTTCAGTGGTGTCTGTGACTAAAGCGATGAAATGAGGACTATTGTTTTTATAGGGAAAGACTATTCAGCTTCATAAGTATCATTCTGACAGGACAGAAGCAAATGATAATGTTAAAAAACAGCAGAAAATTGTATGAAAGTAACTGATACAAAAGCATTTGTAATTTGTTTGGAATAGAGCCGAGATCCAAAACGTGGTTCAGTGGAGTAAGGCTAACAACCTCCAGCTGAACGCATCCAAAACATGTGAACTGGTCACGACTTCAGTCGCGATAGTTCTCATTTGTCTGTCGTAATCGACAACTCCCAGGTGCAGATCGTAGAGGAGTGTAAGTTTCTGGGTTTAACTCTGTCTAACCTGAAATGGGTTAAAAACACTGACCGAGTCGTTAAGAAAGCTCGTCAGCGTCTCTACTTTCTGCGTAAACTTAGAGAATTTACCACTAACTCTAAGATTGTGCTTAACTTTTATGGCTGCACCATTGAGAGTTTACTTGTTGGTTCTGTGTCTGTGTGGTTTGGAAACATCACAGATAAAGAAAAGAGAGCTTTAAACAAGGTGCTCCGCTCTGCAAAGAGGACCGTGGGCTGTGAGCTTCCTGTTCTGGAGGTTCTTTATAAATCCAGACTTTTAAACAAAGCTCTTAGGATTGTTAATGACTCTTCTGGCCACCCTGGGAAAGCCATGTTCCAGCTTCTTCCCTCTGGCAGAAGATATCGCTCTCTGAGATGCAGGACAACTCGTTATGCTAATAGTTTTTTTCCACAAGCTGTTATCAGTGTGAACAGAGCACTTTAATGTTTTTGCACTTGTATAGATCTGTTTTAGTTGGTCAACTTCACAGTGACATTTGTTTACTGTTTTTAAAATTTGTTTTATTTTTGTCTTTTAATGTTGTTTTATGTTTGTACTTGTCCTGTGCACACTGGGAATTTTTACTAATGTATTCCAATGTAGAGTAATGGGAGTAATGGGAGTAATGGGAGTAATGGGAATAATGGGAGTAATGGGACTAATGGGACTAATGGGAGTAATGGGAGTAATGGGAGTAATGGGAGTAATGGGAGTAATGGGAGTAATGGGAGTTATGGGAGTAATGGGACTAATGGGAGTAATGGGAATAATGGGAATAATGGGAGTTATGGGAGTAATGGGAGTAATGGGAGTAATGGGAGTAATGGGAGTAATGGGAGTAATGGGAGTAATGGGAGTAATGGGAGTAATGGGAATAATGGGAGTAATGGGACTAATGGGAGTAATGGGAGTAATGGGAGTAATGGGAGTTATGGGAGTAATGGGACTAATGGGAGTAATGGGACTAATGGGAGTAATGGGAGTAATGGGAGTAATGGGAGTTATGGGAGTAATGGGACTAATGGGAGTAATGGGAGTAATGGGAGTAATGGGAGTAATGGGAGTTATGGGAGTAATGGGAGTAATGGGAGTAATGGGAGTAATGGGAGTAATGGGAGTAATGGGAGTTATGGGAGTAATGGGACTAATGGGACTAATGGGAGTAATGGGAGTAATGGGAGTAATGGGAGTTATGGGAGTAATGGGAGTAATGGGAGTAATGGGAGTTATGGGAGTAATGGGACTAATGGGAGTAATGGGAGTAATGGGAGTAATGGGAGTAATGGGAGTTATGGGAGTTATGGGAGTAATGGGAATAATGGGAGTAATGGGACTAATGGGAGTAATGGGAGTAATGGGAGTAATGGGAGTAATGGGAGTAATGGGAATAATGGGAGTAATGGGACTAATGGGAGTAATGGAGTAATGGGAGTAATGGGAGTAATGGGAGTAATGGGAGTAATGGGAGTTATGGGAGTAATGGGACTAATGGGAGTAATGGGACTAATGGGAGTAATGGGAGTAATGGGAGTAATGGGAGTAATGGGAGTAATGGGAGTTATGGGAGTAATGGGACTAATGGGAGTAATGGGAGTAATGGGAGTAATGGGAGTAATGGGAGTTATGGGAGTAATGGGAGTAATGGGAGTAATGGGAGTAATGGGAGTAATGGGAGTTATGGGAGTAATGGGACTAATGGGACTAATGGGAGTAATGGGAGTAATGGGAGTAATGGGAGTTATGGGAGTAATGGGAGTAATGGGAGTAATGGGAGTAATGGGAGTAATGGGAGTAATGGGAGTTATGGGAGTAATGGGACTAATGGGAGTAATGGGAGTAATGGGAGTAATGGGAGTAATGGGAGTAATGGGAGTAATGGGAGTAATGGGAGTTATGGGAGTAATGGGAGTTATGGGAGTAATGGGAGTAATGGGAGTTATGGGAGTAATGGGAGTAATGGGAGTGATGGGACTAATGGGAGTAATGGGAGTTGAGGAGCCAACTGAATGGTGCTCAGGTACAAACCAATAATGACTCTTTGTGCACTTGTGTTGAAGCAAGTTTTCAGTGAGTTGGATTCAGAGGCTTTTGGCCGGTTACATCGTCACCCAAATCAGAACATTATACAACTTTCATGACTCCTTTTGGGTGTTTTCAGTTCAACAGACTTCCATTTGGAACTTCCTCAGTCCAGAGCATTTTCAGCAAAGAATGTCAATAATTGTCAATGGGCTTCTGTGCGTGGCTTTTCACATGCACTGTCTATGACAGGACTATGTTAGTGGTGTCAGCAGAACCACCTTCTCATCAACACAGGGAAGACCAAGGAGATGGTGGTGGATTATAGCAGACATCTATCTGCCTCTCCAGTTCCAGTGAACATCCAGAGAATGGACATTGAGAGAGTTGACACACGTACACGTACCTGCGTGTTCATGTGAATCGACAAGCTGGACTGAGTAGATAATACAGAGCCAGCTTTACCTGCTGAGGAGGGTTTTCTTTGGAGTGCAGGGGCCACTCCTGAAGACCTTCAATGACTCTGTGGTGGCATCAGCCTGTTGTATGGAGTGGTCTGCTGGAGCAGCAGCAGCACAGATGCTGTCCCCTGGACACAGTGCAGCAGGTGGGGGACAGGACAAACTAACTCTGTATAACTAACACTAACACTAAACTAAAGCCCTATTCGCACTGGATTAGTATTACCTGTGGACCTCTGGTGATTTGAGATAATCACAAGGTCGTCTGAGATCTTGCAGTGCATTCATACAGGATAAGCAGTCCGTAAATTACTATATTTTCAGTGACATCTCACATAACGGCCGCACGTGCGCGAGTCCCCAGCTTCACGTAACCCAACCGAGCGAATAGGGCTTAACACTCATGCATGCTATTTCAGTGAGGGACTTATCCACCCTTGAATGTGAAGGAGAGGTACAGCAGGTCCTCCTGCTAATGTCAGTCTGTACAATGAGAACTGCTGAGCCTGGACATGTGCCCTTCATCTGTTCTGATAATTTTACTAGTCACTTGTCACATTACCTGCTATTATGATTACATTATTATTGTGATAAGATAAGATAAGATAAGATAAGAATTCCTTTATTCGTCCCACAGTGGGGAAATTTTGATGTTGCATCGCACATATAGGACAGTAGTAAGAACACACAGGGATCACACACAATATATACACTATATACAAATAAGTAGTAGCTATGTTTCTTAACTAACATAACTAGCTGTAGATGCTGAATAATAATAATAATAATAATAATAATAATAATCTTTTCTGATAATTCCCTCGCAACCTTATCCCTGCTGTTATTATTACTGTTTATTCTAGTCATTTATTTTGCTGCTAAAGTACAATTTCAACCATCTGTAAATCTGAAACCTCCTTAAGTTATCTTAGATTGCAATTATATACCCACAGTTTATAATTGTATTTTCTGTTATCTACCGAAGTGGTTGTATCTCTCTCTTGAAATTCCTCCACTGAGATAAATAAAGGTTTATCTTATCTTATTTTGATCATTCATTATCCACCCTATATATATGTATATATATATATATATATAAAGATAATATATATATGGACCCATGTGTTCGGAACCTTATAGATGGTGTAGATTGTCCGCACGGATAGATTTCCCTTTGCACACAAGGCGGGTTCTGGCTTTGATTGACACGTTATTTTGACCAATCAGAATCACGAAAGGCTGCAGTGCGGAAAGTAAACAAAGCAAAGAACCGGGACTTTACTCAAACACAGCACATGCTTTAGATGTTTTCAATCATGTCCACGTTTCTTTGTTTCACACTTTGTTGGAGTGAGAAGACTACAGTCTTTATAAATGTGTTTTTTGTCTTAGGTTGAGCTCTAACGCAGTTTTCTATTTATGAAATGTCGCTGTCAGTTTACAGTAGTCTACGGAGAGCTGCTGTCCAGGTTCTGGAGCTGAGGTATGCCTTTTGTACACGCTTCATTATTGCTAAATATAATAATACAATATGTCTTTATTGTTGTTTAATGAATGCTTCTTAAACATATAACTCTGCATGCTGACTAGTTCCTGTAAAACAATGTGTTGTATGCAGAAGATCACATGTTTTCTGATGCAGACAGCGTGATTTGTTCATAACATTTAAGTTCAATATGAAACAAACTCGGCTACCCATCCAAACTATACTGGAAACTGACGACAACTGACTAAAAGGTCAATTCAAACATGTTTTAAGCTATGGTTGTTCCAAACTCAATGCATTTGCAAATCATAGACTCTATCTGCAGAAGCATAAGACTATACCTGGACATATACTTCTGGATTTCTCCTACAGGGGTCAATAAAGTATCTCTAGCTATATAAATGTATACTGTATAAATGTTAGTATATACTAACCTTCTAGCTCAGTGAGTCCCAATAGGGAAGTGCTCTTGGACAAAGTTTTGCTCCATCTTGCTTTTGTAACCCATGTTGGAATTTACATGAATACTAGGTTCATAAAGAGCTCAAATGTTAAATGTTGGAACTGTAGCCGCAAAGAAAGACAGACAATATTTAAGAAAATGTAAATTGATTTAGTTAAAGATGTCAAGAATTATAACCTCAAATACAATGCATAAAAAAATAAAATACAAAAATAAAATGGCGCCTTTAAAATAACCCTAAAAAATAAACTAAGATCTAGATGTTTGGTTCTCGGTTGTCTGTTGATACGGTCCTCCTGCAGCCCAGAGTCCATGCGGTTCGTGATGGGGCCGATCCAGTTCTGGGTCAGTTGGGGTGTTGCGCCATCTAGTGGTCTTCTCCCAAACCGCATTAAAAAGACCTGACCTGTGTTAAACTGTCATGACTTGAGCTGTCTTTTATCTATTTCAATTTGTTCAAAAGTACAATATATTTCTCATGTACTGTACAGCCAAACAGAATGATAATTTTTCTTATTATTCATTTACATAATAGGGCATAAAAAATCTGTATAATTTTTTAAACCCATTAAACAATAAATAACTAGCATTTTTGTGGCAGTCAAAGTTCCTCATTGATTCACTCCAGAACAAAGTGACGTCAAGGCTCTGGGTCTCAGCGCTCGTGCAGATAACTGCCATGGATCTATAATAATAACGGTAACTGCCATAGATCTACAGTGCCTTGCGAAAGTATTCGTCCCCCTTGAACCTTTCAACATTTTGCCACATTTCAGGCTTCAAACATAAAGATATAAAATTTTAATTTTTTGTCATGAATCAACAACAAGTGGGACACAATCGTGAAGTGGAACGAAATGTATTGGATAATTTAAACTTTTTTAACAAATAAAAAACTGAATAGTGGGGCGTGCAATATTATTGGGCCCCTTTACTTTCAGTGCAGCAAACTCAGTCCAGAAGTTCAGTGAGGATCTTTGAATGATCCAATGTTGTCCTAAATGACTGATGATGATAAATAGAATGCACCTGTGTGTAATCAAGTCTCCGTATAAATGCACCTGCTCTTTGATAGTCTCAGGGTTCTGTTTAAAGCGCAGAGAGAACCATGAAGACAAAGGAACACACCAGGCAGGTCCGAGATACTGTTGTGGAGAAGTTTAAAGCCGGATTTGGATACAAAAAGATTTCCCCAGCTTTAAACATCTCAAGGAGCGCTGTGCAAGCAATTATATTGAAATGGAAGGAGTATCAGACCACTGCAAATCTACCAAGACCCGGCCGTCCCTCCAAACTTTCATCTCAAACAAGGAGAAGACTGATCAGAGATGCAGCCAAGAGGCCCATGATCACTCTGGATGAACTGCAGATAACTACAGCTGAGGTGGGAGAGTCTGTCCATAGGACAACAATCAGTTGTGCACTGAACAAATCTGGCCTTTATGGAAGAGTGGCAAAAAGAAAGCCATTTCTCAAAGATATCCATAAAAGTCTTGTTTAAACTTTGCCACAAGCCACCTGGGAGACACACCAAACATGTGGAAGAAGGTGCTCTGGTCAGATGAAACCAAAATCAAACTTTCTGGCCACAATGCAAAACGATATGTTTGGCGTAAAAGCAACACAGCTCATCACCCTGAACACACCATCCCCACTGTCAAACATGGTGGTGGCAGCATCATGCTTTGGGCCTGCTTTTCTTCAGCAGGGACAGGGAAGATGGCTAAAATTGATGGGAAGATGGATGGAGCCAAATACAGGACCATTCTGGAAGAAAACCTGTTGGAGTCTGCAAAAGACCTGAGACTGGGACGGAGATTTATCTTCCAACAGGACAATGATCCAAAACATAAAGCCAAATCTACAATGGAATGGTTCACAAATAGACGTATCCAGGTGTTAGAATGGCCAAGTCAAAGTCCAGACCTGAATCCAATCCAGAATCTGTGGAAAGAGCTGAAGACTGCTGTTCACAAACGCTCTACATCCAACCTTACTGAGCTCCAGCTGTTTTGCAAGGAAGAATGGGCAAGAATTCCAGTCTCTCGATGTGCAAAACTGATAGAGACATACCCCAAGCGACTTGCAGCTGTAATTGCAGCAAAAGGTGGCGCTACAAAGTATTAGGGCAAGGGGCCGAATAGTAGTAACTAGTAGTAGTCTTTATTTATATACCGCCTTTTCACTGCACATCGGAGTCTCAAAGCGGTTTACAATTGTTATTTTTTGGATTGGGGCCAGTACAGGAGGCACATGCCAGACCTATTGTACATATTTTTAGTGGTAGGGGAAACCGGAGCACCCGGAGGAAACCTACGCAGACACGGGGAGAACATGCAAACTCCACTCAGAAAGACCCTGGCCCAACCGGGATTCGAACCCAGGACCTTCTTGCTGAGAGGCGAGAGTGCTATCCACTACGGTGGCTGCCACTAATATTGCACGCCCCACTTTTCAGTTTTTTTATTTGTTAAAAAAGTGTAAATTATCCAATAAATTTCGTTCCACTTCACAATTGTGTCCCACTTGTTGTTGATTCTTGACATTAATTATTTTTATATCTTTATGTTTGAAGCCTGAAATGTGGGGAAATGTTGAAAGGTTCAAGGGGGCCGAATACTTTCGCACTGTATAATAATAACTGCCATGGATCTATAATGATTACAGTAACTGCCATACAATACAATACAATACTGTGCATTCTTGTATAGCCCTAGGTCACAACAGAAGTCATCTCAGAGACTTAACAAAACCATTGAAATCACCAACACAGGTCAGAGAATCAACAGTTAAAACACATGAAGAATATAAAGCACACACAGAAGAAAATGTCCATACATGTTGTAAATGCTAAAGTGTCCTGATCATCACCAATCCTTTCTGTTGGACACTAACTGTCCAACAAGACCCTCCTGCATCGACAAGGAACAACTCTTAAAAAACCCAGTGGGAAAAAGTGAGAAACCTTGGAGGAGAACTAGGGAAACCCACAGGGAGGGAGACCCATATGAGAAAGGGATCCGCTCCTCCGGACGGACAGGCTAATGATCTAGGACCTAAGCTAGCTACAGAACGTGGACCAGTGGACGCTGAACGTGGACAGGTCCGGTGCAGGACCGAAGCACTCCCAGGCGGGTCGGGCGGGGCAGTCCGCAGGTGTAGATGGAAGAGGCCAGGCTCAGAGATCCCGTCATCGTACCATGAAACAGACAATGGGACAACGGGTGAATAGCAATGAACAAACTACAGTCAAAATCCTAATAATGCTAAACATAAAGTAGGAAGGAGGAGAGGATAGTGCTCAAGTTACCATACTTCTCCAGCAGGGGGCTCCCTATGGATCTATAATAATAATGGTAACTGCCATGGATCTATAATAATAACTGCCATGGATCTATATTAATAACTGCCATGGATCTATAATAATAACTGCCATGGATCTATAATAATAACTGCCATGGATCTATAATAATAACTGCCATGGATCTATAATAATAACTGCCATGGATCTATAATAATAACTGCCATGGATCTATAATAATAACTGCCATGGATCTATAATAATAACTGCCATGGATCTATAATAATAACTGCCATGGATCTATAATAATAACTGCCATGGATCTATAATAATAACGGTAACTATCAATAATCAAGTTATTCCTCACACATTCTCCTTTGTTCCTTTGCAGAACGGTGTTCTTTTTTCTCTGCTCTGGGGAAGTCTGTTAGTGTAGCGGCCGTTAGTCAGTTGCGGAGGTTAAGTTGCGGTGGTTACTTCACGGCGGCACGGTGGCTGAGTGGATAGCACTCTCGCCTCTCAGCAAGAAGGTCCTGGAGTGGAGTGGAGTTTGCATGTTCTCCCCGTGTCTGCGTAGGTTTCCTCAGGGTACTCCGGTTTCCCCTACCACTAAAAACATGTGCAATAGTTCAGAGTGTGTGTTCATGAACATGTACTGTCCCAACCAAATAAACAATAAATAAATAAACAAAGTAACTCTTACCGATCAGCTGTCAACTTTAACTCCAGGCCAGCAACAGGACTCCTCTTTAGGCTTGGATTGATTTTCTTCTGATTTGCTCTTTTGATTGTCTCCAAAATGTTAAAATGTTGGCTTTGCGTGTGTCTCGCTGACTCCAGGCAGAGCGAGGAGGAGCCGTTAACTGATCGTGATGTTTTGGCTTTCTGTTTGTACCTGACTTCTATGCTGCATTACAGTGCATTTTGTTGACACTTATTATACAATTTTTATTTTTTTATTTTTTATTTAACCTTTATTTAACCAGTAGTACCTCATTGAGTAAAATAAATAAAAGTAAAAAAGTACACATTTTCATTGTGGCACTCATTACTTTGTGGTTTACATATAAATTATGAATGTTTTAACCTTAGGTTTGCTCCTGGGTTACACTTTGGCTCACGCTGACTTACTTTGTAAAGTCATCTAACCGTTTGTGTTATACACACCATTTTGGGTTCAAGAATCCAACAACTCTGGCTGATATCAGCTGAGTCAGAATGTATAAAATCCAACATTAAATAAAGTACTTGTTTTAGACCATGCTTAGATACATTCTTCGCAATGAAATGGCATCTCTATGAAAACAAGCAACTCAACTGAAAAACCTTATTGTCCCCAAGGGAAACAGTGTTTGCATGTGGTGGAGCACTACAATACATACAAATAACAATACAATAATTACAATAATCAGTGAGAATGGTACATTTCAGGGAGTATACATGTCAGCAGTTAGCTTGGGGATTTTGACACATTACAATCTGCAGTTAGGGCTGAGGTCAGCAGAACCCATATAAGGTTACACCATGATGTTTCTTCATTCAAAATGGTCAAATACTGATAAGACAAACTTTATACACCATCTCACAATGGAGAAATTGTGAGATGGAGCTGTTATTCCTCCCTGCATTACAGCCTTATAAATTATCTGACTAATGCTGCGTGTCCCTCTTTATGACCCACTGGCTGCAGGAGAAGAGCTGCTGCACGTCGCCTCTGCACCACTCCGGAGACGCCACATGGTCTGGCAGATGCAGACACCATATATGCCCTGTCGTCTGCTCCGGGCAGATGCGGCGTGGCCGTGGTCAGGGTGAGTGGTCCGGCATCTATCAGTGCTCTCAAGACCATGGCCGGGTTCAGGGCCGGTCCCCCTGCCCCCCGGGTGGCGTTGTTACGCAGCATCTGCCACCCCAGGACTGGAGAGGAGCTGGACCGGGGCCTCGTCCTGTGGTTTCCAGGTGAGGAACTCCCCTCTTCCTTTTGTCTCATTGTGAGAGCCGTGCACGTGCAGCCGTTATGTCAGATGTGAAAATTGATAATTACTGCATGTTCATCAGGATTCACAACTATCTCCAGGTCACTGTCCAAACGCTAAAGCTTTAGTCATTTCCACTGCGCACAAACCATCAAACTGACTTGAATGAAAACATGAACTACTCAAAAAGTCAACTATTTTGTTGACATTGTTTCCACTCTGTTAAATAGTCCTAGACACTGAGAAAAGCAATAACAAAAGTATTCAGCGATTCAGTAGCCCATATTAGACAATCCAAATATTTTCTTTTTGTAGGGAACTGGATTAATAAAAGCCTTTTGCTTCATCCATCACCTTTCTAAACCTCATCAGGAGACATTTAGAACAAGGACAAATGTTACTAAATGCAATTCAGTTTTAGAGTTATTAGTAGAAGCTCAAAGACTGATGCTCAACCAACTGAGCCGCTGTAATCAAGCTTCAAATAAATACATTACATTAGATTAAATGAATATTTGTATAAATGTTTTTGTCAAATAAAAAATATAACTATACTGTATATACTGTATAACTTTACAATGAAATATTGCCCATTTCAGTACATTTTAATTGTGAACTGTTGCTTCTTGCTCTTCTCATACATCTGAAAGTGCTGAAGTATAGTGTTGTCCAGGTCCACACAGCTTTACTGGGGAGGACAGCGCTGAGTTCCACATCCACGGGGGTCCGGCTGTGGTCACTGCGCTTCTGCAGGCTTTAGGTAACACATTCCCTTTCTTCTTTTGCCATCGTACATAATAGGAGCCCTTTAATGGCATAATTGGCAATCATAAGCAGAATGCGTGTGTTCAGTGTGTATTTTATATCTGCAAAGATAACCAGTTCACAATACTGCAATTTTTCAGGCCTTGTACTTCAGGCTGTTCAGAACAGAACACTTATTAACATACATCTCTTCACCTTCATCTAGTGCAGTTTAAATATAACCACCAGAGGGCAGTGTAACGTGAGTTTGCAGTGTAGGTGACACTGAACACTTCAGTGTTTCCCACACATAGACTAATCTGTGGCGCACCGCCACAGATTAGAGACCGCCCGCCACAAATTGCGTTTCGTATTATTATATATATTTTTTTTTTGTTACGCTATTTAAAACATGCATCGTCTAGTGCCGCCGCAGCGGTCAATTTGACAGCGGGGAGGGGGGTTTAAAATGTGGCGGCCCTTCGTAACTCTCACTCAAGCTACGCGTCTCTCCCACATACAGAGACCTACACACACAGCCCCTCCCCTTCGTGCACACCGCGTGTCTCCGTCTCCATCAGCGATCATCGCTGTAAGCAGCTGTGTCTATTAATTTTGGTGCAGAGAAGACGGCTGGTGAAGTTCACTAAAGGTTGGTATCCCGTGATCTCGTAAATCACACATTAAAAAGTGCTGAATGTTCAGTGTCAATGTTGAATTTCCGTCCCGACTCCCTTAACAAGCGATGACGCTTTCTTTATAAAGTTAATTAGTCGCAAGTTTGCGGTATGTAGTTGGGTTGTCGGGGTCAAAACACTGTAGCAGCTGTAGCAAGAAATAAAGTTATAAGTAACGTTATGTCATTTTTTTACTCTTACACTGAATGTTTGCTGCTTCAATCCAGATGAGTATTGAACAATATTTTCCGCGATTGAAAAAGACACGCGTTGAGGATGAGGATCAGCCTGAACCAGAGGTATCGGTCTGAAACAGTCCGCAGTGTAATTAGCTATACAAGTTGTTTACAATATTTTCAGGCTTCAACCAGTGCTGCTCAAGCAGAAAGACAGGGTCAGGGAGAGAACGAGATAGAATTGATTATATTCAATATTATATTCAAGGTCAGTGAATTGACCTGACACACACACACACACACACACTAATGCCACGACAAACCCTTATCTTTCAAGAACAAGAACCAGGAGGAGCTCTTGTGTTTACTGGCAAGTGAGTTTGATGAGTGGGCCAACCTCTACCCCTGCCTGAGCCTTCTGGCAAGCATTGCTTTGGTTATCCCTGTTTCCTCTGTGAACTGTGAACGGGATTTCTCTGCAATGAACAGGGTAATAGCAATAAAAAATTCTCATTGTCTTTATATTGGTGCATTTTGCATTGATAATAATTTATCATTTTGCTTTATCTCCAGGTGAAAACAGACCTCAGGAACAAACTGCAAGAACACCTGGCAGCTTGCTTGAGGATCTCCATCAATGGACCCTGTCCTGAGGACTTCCCTTATGATATGGCATTAAAATCTTTTTTTCGCCAGCCCCGAAAAATCAGGTGCTCTGATAAAACATGCAAACTTTGCAACAAGTAGGTTTATACAGCGTTAACAGTATTTATAGTGTAATACAGTGTTTATACAGCGTGTGAATAATGTTATTTTTTGCAACAAGTAGGTTTATACAGCGTTAACGGTATTTATAGTGTAATATACAGCGTGTGAATAATGTTTGATATTTTGATCAGTCCAATAAAGCTGTATTTGACCAATTAACGATGTCATTGTTAATTTTTGCCGGCCGACCAGCGCCCCCCCCCCCCGCCGACGACCACCACACATTGCCTTCAAACCTGTGGGAAACACTGCACTTAGTATATTAAAGTGAATGCCTATATTGTCTGACAGATCAAAAGTTCTTGGAGAACATGTTATGCTATGTTATTGCCTTCCCCTTTATAAATCCATTTCTGGGTCGGGCGGGTGGCAATTCTCTGTCATCGACAAAATGGCCTTGGTCTTTCAGTGGGGGCTTCAGTCAGTGTGGGGTTAAGTGTCTTGCCCAGGGACACAACGACAGCAGACATCAGTGGGAGCAGGTGACATGGGTCGTGGTGGGATCGAACCCAAGACCATCAGGTCCAAAGACTGGTTCTACCAACTGAGCTACTGTCGCCATCCTTATCTTGATAAGTGGAATATGGCTGTGCTTTCTGCAGACAGAGCAGTGTGTGGGCTCAGCACCAGTGAAATGAGAGTGTAAAGTGTGTAACCTGTGTGTGAGAACACACATACTGTGTGTACTTGTGTGTGAGAACACACATTCTGTGTGTACTTGTGTGTGAGAACACACATACTGTGTGTACTTGTGTGTGAGAACACACATACTGTATGTACTTGTGTGTGAGAACACACATACTGTGTGTACTTGTGTGTGAGAACACACATACTGTATGTACTTGTGTGTGAGAACACACATACTGTGTGTACTTGTGTGTGAGAACACACATACTGTGTGTACTTGTGTGTGAGAACACACATACTGTATGTACTTGTGTGTGAGAACACACATACTGTATGTACTTGTGTGTGAGAACACACATACTGTGTGTACTTGTGTGTGAGAACACACATACTGTATGTACTTGTGTGTGAGAACACACATACTGTATGTACTTGTGTGTGAGAACACACATACTGTATGTACGTGTGTGTGATGTGTGCTCAGGAAGTGTGGGAGGCACACGGCCCGCTGAGGCTGGGGAGTTCACACGGAGGTCCTTCCAAGCAGGGAAGCTCCAACTCACCCAGGTCAGACAACACAACAACACTTACACAATACTTACACAACACGTATACAACACATGCTCTTGGATCCTTTGAAGGGCCACAGTGTTTCCAACAGGGCCCATGTGAGCCAGAGTTCCACTGATGTTTATGGCCTTCTTTAGGCTCAATGATCCAAACAGTGCAGAGAGAATTAACTGATTTGTGTCTAAAAGGAAATGATGGTAAATGGAGAATATTGAATATTACAAATAAAGAACTGATTTGACCTCTGTGTCCTGTTTTCATGGAAGTGTAAGTACTTTTATAGCTTCAGGTTGGATGCTGCTGATGCCTCTAATCATTTAATATATATATTTTCTAATAACTTTTTCATGAGATACTATTCCTATATTCCTCAGTTTTGACTCAGGTCATGTGATTAACTTTTGTAGTAAGCTTAAGGTCATAGGAGGCGTGTAGATCTGCATGTAGATCTGAAACAACGACATTAAACATCCATGAAGTCTAAATACTCAGGCATAAGCAGACATTTCTAAAGCAAAAGTTTCCAACACTGCCCTCCCTGATTTGAAATATTGTGTTCCCATTCCCTCAGGTGGAGGCTCTGGGGGACCTGATCCACGCTGAGACCGAGGCCCAGCGGAGACAGGCTCTGAGGCAGATGTCCGGAGAGCTGGGGCGCCTGTACCAGGACTGGAGCCGCTCTCTCAAACGGGTGCCTGCTTTACAAATATATGCTTTAGTGTCATTTCATCATTTCTCACGCTGGGGTTCATAACTTTCAAACTACAAAACAATCACAATGTATTCAAATCTAAAGCACAGAGCAACAGTGTGGACACCCTCTCTCCTTCACTGAGTTCTTTTCATGACTATTGCTGTAGACCCGCACCAGGCTGTGTAAGGGCCGGACCTGAACCCAGTCCAGATGGTTTTGGACCTGAACCCAGTCCAGATGGTTTTGGACCTGAACCCAGTCCAGATGGTTTTGGACCTGAACCCAGTCCAGATGGTTTTGGGGCTGGACCACAGAGTGAAGGGGCCAACAAGTGCTAAGCATCATAGGAACTCCTTCCAGACTGTTGGAGACCATTTCAGGTCCTGTTGAAGCTCATCCAGAGAATGCCAAGAGTGAAGCAGTATCAGAGCAAAAGGAGCTACTTTGAAGAACCAGAATATAACACATATTTACACTTGGTTCATATTTTTTATTTTTAGGTGCATACATAATTCCATATGAGTTAATCCATAGGTTTGAAGCCTTCAGTGTCGATCTACAATTTTCATAATCATGAAAATAAAAAACTCTTTGAATGAGAAGGTGTGTCTGTACTGTATGTTCCTGTAACTCTTTCCTCACTCTCAAAACAGTTCTAACCCTAGCTCTGTTTCATCCCCACTGACCACCAGAGGGCGGTGCATGGTAGTGAATGATTCCTTGAGCGTCACTGACCACCAGAGAGCAGTGCATGGTAGTGAATGATTCCTTGAGCATGTGCAGTTTGAGTAATAATACCAAATATTTCTCATCCAACACTCTTGCTGTTTTCCTTTTCAGCTGTTAGCTAATTTGACCTGTGTTTGATGCTTTGTAAAAGCAATAATTCACAAAGGATTGCTTATTGCCTGGAGCCTTTCTACTGATACCCTAGTATTAGTGAGGCTGCAGATGCCATTTTGTTGTTGTGGTATTCCATTGTGGGGCCACAAAGATTCCGTCGGGACTCTGAAGTCGGGCAGGTTATGACTGTGATGAGACCTCTGGGAACATACAATTCAAAGCACTCTTGTATAGTCCACAACAAATCACAACAGTAGTTGTCTTGGAGGACTTTACAAAACCGTCGAATTCAACACAGATTAGAGAATCAAACAGAAGAAATGCAATGATAAAACACACATCATCACCACTGTCCTTAGACCCTCATGCATCGGCAAGGAAAAACTTTAATTAAAAAAAGCCACATTGAGGGACATCCAGGTCTCAGGCTGCAGATCTTACACAGTGATTTGGATTCAGACTTGGTTGGGACATTTACTGGGGCCTGATACTACACCCATTGACACGGGTCTGCGGGTCCTCTCCCGGGAAATTTTGTGTAATCATGAAATCATATTTGTAATAGTTTGGTGCCTTTTATACTAATCTCAGCTGTGGAAGAAGAAGAAGCTTAGGATGTTTTAGATATCCATCCATCCATCCATTTTCTTCCCCTTAATCCATTTCTGGGTTGGGGGGGTGGCAGTCAGAGCTGCACCCAGTCACAGAGCACCAGCCCCTCACTGATCCTCCTGCAGGTGGTGAGTCCACAGGAGCTGAGATCTTTCTTTAGTTAGAACGGAGATAGGCGTGACTACGTCCGTTAATATACTGTATACAGTCTATTGGGTAAACAAGCTTCAGACAAAGCAAGTGTGTGTTGACGAGTCAGTTGTTTTTGCTTAATAAAGATAATGTATTTGTAATTTTTGAGTTTAGCTTTGTAGTTTAATGTTTATGACGTCACTCTTTTATATATTGTATCTACAAATGCTGTTTGCTGATTGTTGTTTTATTCATTTTAAATCACCCATTTCCAGAGAGCATGAGAAACAAATTTGAGAACTTGGTTTGTGGCTGAGAATGACAGAAACGTTAAGTTGGCGCATTGCAGCAGCATGGCTGGTCTTCATGAAGCTGTTTGTAGGAGCACTGTTGTTTGCAGTAGAAGGAGGGTTCAGTTCCCTGTACCCAGGAGAAGAGCAAGTGGGTCACACCAACCTAATGTCAAACAAGTGCCCTAGATTCCAATTTGTGAGATGGATTTTAAATCTGCAAAGACTAAACATAAACAACTTGTAGTAAACCAAACAAGTCCGGGAATCGATTAAAAACTACATTTGTCCTTGTCACGCTTGTTGTTAGCACAATGAAACACGGCACGATTGTGGCATTGCTTCAAAGACCTTAAATGATGCTTAAAAGACTCTAATGTGACGTTAAAGAGCGTGACCATACAGCTACAGCAGCTTTACCACCAACATGGCCGACACCCGGTAAGCTGACCTTCGTTTCACAGGATGTGATGTCACGTGAAAGTCAAGAATACTCCAAGTCAGGGGTGTCCACATCTACTTTTACTACAACCATTAAGCCGTGATCTACCTCAGTTTCATGTGGAAGTGATACGATTCAGATTATCAAATTTGGTTCGATTCAGATGCATTATAAGTGACATTTACAATGTCACTTATAACTGCCTAGTGACTCATATTTGTCAGATACTACATTCCACTTTGACCATGCTCTTTCTAGTCTTTCTTTTGAGGATGGTTCTCTTGATGTGCGCCCGTGCATAAAGGTGTGCGTGTGAACGCATTCATGTTGATCACGATCAAAGTATTGAGCGCTCCTGCTCCTGGGAAATCAAGTTCCTCCTCTGCAGTCTGTGTGAAACAGTAAAACTCTGTGTACCGACCTCAGGCAAACTGTAACACTTTCCACCGGAGGACACGGTGTGAAAGACATTCTGTGAAATCCTTGTTTTTTTGGAGCTGGTACTTTACCAAGCCGCCCTTTCAGGTCAGAGTTCTGCTACGTTCACATGTGAAACAATGCTCTGTGGCTCCTCTGTCGACCCGCGCAGCTGTATGGACAGTGAATATGTTATCTTTTGGGGATACGGCGCTTCCTGCTATTATCTTGGTCGAGTATGTGACAGTTGAGCGCGTGTCAATTCCATGAATAACAAGACTATTCTACACAGAGGGGAAAACACCACACCAACAAACAGGTACAAGTTCACAAGAGGAAAGAACTCATTATGGAATCATGTTTTGTTGTTTTAAGATGTCACATGCACGTTTTTTTCTGTCACTTCTGTTTCAATGACAATATTGTAATTTGTGTCTGGAACATCAGTATCACTTAATGGAGAAATGACCTGTAGGCTAACAAAGTAAATGTTTCCTGTGTCGTCTCAGTCTCTAGTTTAGAATGTGGAGTTCCTCATGGTGTACCAACAAACCAGATCTCTCCTGTTTTCATTTGATTGGAAAGACGAAAAAACTGTGCACCATTTGGAGTAACTGGATACGATCATTTCCACTTCTGTTACTCTTGGATCTTACAGATGTGTGTGTTTGGAGGCATATAACTTATTGTTATTGTTTTTATTTCATTATGTGAGGCAAAAGCAGGACACATGTGGACGGTCACCATGAGCTCCTGTGGGGCCTTCTGCTCACTACAGGTCAATGACCAATGACCTGACCTGACCCGGCTCCAGTCAGGTCAATGACCAATGACCTGACCTGACCCGGCTCCAGTCAGGTCATTGACCAATGACCTGACCTGACCCAATGACCTGACTGGAGCCGGTCCAGCCCTGCTCCACTTTCCCTCACATTAATTATGGATACATAAATGCAGATGCTTCTTTTGAAGACTATTCCCCTTGAGAAATGTGCTCACTGTTGTTCTCAGGCTTTTCCAAGAATCATTACAAAACACATTTGTTTTGGAGAAAGATTTCTGGGAAACTGGTAAAGCGGTATCACAATCCACCATCTTAACGTTGCAATATTTGGGTGAAAGATGATGGTCACATCAACAATGTAATCTCAACCTGACTTATTACTAGACCACCAATTAAACCATGGAAAGCTTCCTGCGTTTGTGAAGCAGCAGTTTTGAGTTTCCCTCAATCTAAAAGTGTGGCTCTTTGGAAATATATTTTAGACGAGAGACTTTGATTGATAGTTTAATTTTATGCTCCTGTATGAAAATGTCCCCGCTCTGACGCTGACTACGTGTGCTTTTTCTATCGCCATCCTGTGCTATTGTTCAGATAACGTATTACCAATAGAATAATGGTATGTGCTTGAAGATGTACATCTGGACTTTCCTGTCACATGTATTTAGCATAAACAATAAGACTGAAAATATCTCCCCTCCTGACCCCTCTTGTCTGTCCCTTTAGTGCCTGGCACATGTGGAGGCCTTTATAGACTTCAGTGAAGATGAGCTGATCGAGGACGGGGTCCTGGACCAGGGTGAGTATGTCATCTCTGCTTTTCCAAAGAGAAGATGCTTTCCTGTTTGGATCTTCAGAACACCGTCGTGTGAGCTCCTCTCACTCTGTGACTGCCTTCCAAGCGCTCAAAAAAGTCTTTCCTGAAGGAAGCAGGAGGCCAGGGGACTCAAAGCCTGCCCACATGCCACTCACAGCAGCAGCAACAGTGGTGGTGGACTTTCCCATGGTCCCTGTGCATGTGAGCGTGTTGTTGATGTTATTATGGGACTCCCCCAGAGACCAACACTTTGGGCCGTTGTTAAAAGTTAGAAAGCTTCACAAGTTTGACCACCAAAACCCTAACCCTGACTATTCAAGGTGACATTAGCTCAATGTGTAGAGCAGGTGTCTCCAACCTTTTTTACACAGAGAGCTACTTTCCCGGGACGATAAAGGCAGAGAGCTACTCCTTTAAGCGGCCCTTGGGAAATGTTTTTTGATATATTGGAGTCATTATTTATCATCTCATATTTGTTACTGGTGAAAAAGTGCATAATAAATAATAAATCAATGTGAAATATTCATCATATTATTTGATTTGTTAATTTCTAAATCCTTTGGCGAGCTACCTGAAAGGAGGTGGCGAGCTACTGGTGGCTCCCGAGCTATAGGTTGGAGACCCCTGGTGTAGAGCATCGGCCTTTGAGCCAGAAGGTCGTGGGTTCAAGCCCGACTTTCACCATCGACTCCCACTGTCTGCTGTCGTTGTGTCCTTGGGCAAGACACTTAACCTCTGGGAACAGCAGCCACAGTGGGGCGGCTGCGGCTGTAAAGTGCCAAACTGCTGTTGTGTCCTTAGGCAAGACACTTTACCCCCATTGCCTAGAATGAGTCTGGTGTGTGTGAATGGTTGGTGGTGGTGGGAGGGGCCTCGCTTCTGTCAGTGTGCCCCAGGGCAGCTGTGGCTACAGTAGTAGTTTATCACCACCGTGTTTGGAGAGAAAGAATAATGACATGTGAAGAGACTTTGAGAGTCCAAAAAAGCACTATATAAAACTGATGCATTATTATTATTATTTATGTATCAGTTCTAGTGTTATTGGTGTATCTTTGGCAAAGTGTGACATATACAAGCCTATACAAGCCTATTGCATCAGTCCTAGTGCATCAGTCCTAGTGCATCAGTCCTAGTGCATCAGTCCTAGTGCATCAGTCCTAGTGCATCAGTCCTAGTGCATCAGTCCTAGTGCAAATGTAAGTGTTATAAGTCAAGATGACATATTCTGTAGAATGTATTTTCAGCTTTTAACCATGTTTGAAATGCTCTTTTTCACATTCAATTTATATTGTGACTGATTCATACGTGCTTGGGGCCTGGGGTATAAGAGGATGTGTGAAGGAGGCATGCTCTCACCACGGTCACTCTTCCCTGGCAGTGGAGCTCTCCGTGTGTGAGCTCCTATCGGCCGTGGAGAGCCATCTCCAGGACAAGCGGCGTGGGGAGAGGCTCCGCAGCGGCGTGCAGGTGGTCATAGCCGGACCCACCAACGCTGGGAAAAGCAGCCTCCTCAACATGCTCTGTAAGAAACACTGTTCACCTGAACCATGGGAACTCTGCTGATGTGAGCTTTCTCCTTCTCCACATGTAAAATTCATATTTCACTTAATACTTTATTTATATAGCACTTTTCACACACCAGCAGTCAACGAAAACCTAATTTCTTCAACACAATTTTTCAAAGTTTTGACCAAAAACATGTGCCTTGCGAACCTAGTCTTTGGTCAAGCCGTGGTCAGCATGAAGACTCCATTCACACACAGCAGTATTTTAGACACAATATAAGACAACTGGTTTATAGGCCGCTGCTTTCAGGTGAACAAGGTCATGAAACTACAGTCACACTTACTGCAAAACGACCAAAAGACCTGCTGGACCAGGCACCAGTCTGCTAAAGTCTCCTGATGTCCTCTGCTCCTTGTCTCCTGATGTCCTCTGCTCCTTGTCTCCTGATGTCCTCTGCTCCGTGTCTCCAGTCTCCTGATGTCCTCTGCTCCTTGTCTCCTGATGTCCTCTGCTCCTTGTCTCCTGATGTCCTCTGCTCCGTGTCTCCAGTCTCCTGATGTCCTCTGCTCCTTGTCTCCTGATGTCCTCTGCTCCTTGTCTCCTGATGTCCTCTGCTCCTTGTCTCCAGTCTCCTGATGTCCTCTGCTCCTTGTCTCCTGATGTCCTCTGCTCCGTGTCTCCAGTCTCCTGATGTCCTCTGCTCCTTGTCTCCAGTCTCCTGATGTCCTCTGCTCCTTGTCTCCTGATTTCCTCTGCTCCTTGTCTCCTGATGTCCTCTGCTCCTTGTCTCCAGTCTCCTGATGTCCTCTGCTCCTTGTCTCCTGATGTCCTCTGCTCCTTGTCTCCAGTCTCCTGATGTCCTCTGCTCCTTGTCTCCTGATGTCCTCTGCTCCTTGTCTCCTGATGTCCTCTGCTCCTTGTTGACGTGGGTGTGTGTGTTGACAGGCCAGAGAGCAGCTGCCATAGTGTCTCCGGTCGCTGGAACTACACGGGACGTGGTAGAGACGGTGCTGGACATCGGAGGGTTCCCTGTGGTCCTGAGCGACACGGCGGGACTCCGGGACAGCCCAGACCCGGTTGAGCGAGAGGGGGTCCGCCGTGCACGGGACAGGTACCAGCGACAAACAATCGCACCAAACTTGTGTGTTTCACTTCTGACAGAAGTGTTTATTTGATTAGAGCGACACCTTTAGTGGTAGTTGAGTTTACCCCAAGTTTAACCAAAATCATCAATAGTAACCATAAAATAGAGAGTATTAATAACACCCCCCCCCCCCCCCCCCCACTTATTAGGCTCAGATTAATGTATAATTGTTGAAGATGTTTAAAATCCTTTTCCATGTTAAAAGAAAAGTCATTTTTGACCCATCTGCACAATGCATTTCAATTCAACAATCTACAGCATCCCTCGAGCCATTTGGTAATCTTGAGGAAGCCCTGAATTTGAAAAGCTAATCCCAGTGGTGACGATGGCTGTGGCTGTGGCTGTGGCTGTGGCTGTGGCTGGAGCTGTGGCTGTGGCTGGAGCTGTGGCTGGAGCTGTGGCTGGAGCTGTGGCTGGAGCTGTGGCTGGAGCTGTGGCTGGAACTGTGGCTGGAACTGTGGCTGTGGCTGTGGCTGGAGCTGTGGCTGTGGCTGTGGCTGTGGCTGTGGCTGTGGCTGTGGCTGGAGCTGTGGCTGTGGCTGTGGCTGGAGCTGTGGCTGTGGCTGGAGCTGTGGCTGGAGCTGTGGCTGGAACTGTGGCTGGAGCTGTGGCTGGAGCTGTGGCTGGAGCTGTGGCTGGAGCTGTGGCTGTGGCTGTGGGTGTTGCTGTAGCTGTGGCTGTAGCTGTGGCTGTGGCTGTAGCTGGAGCTGTGGCTGGAGCTGTGGCTGTGGCTGTAGCTGGAGCTGTGGCGGTGGATGTGGCTGTGGCAGTGGCTATGGCTGGAGCTGTGGCTGTGGCTGTAGCTGTTGCTGTAGCTGTGGCTGTAGCTGTGGCTGTGGCTGTAGCTGGAGCTGTGGCTGGAGCTGTGGCTGGAGCTGTGGCTGTGGCTGGAGCTGGAGCTGTGGCTGTGGGTGTTGCTGGGGCTGTAGCTGTGGCTGTGGCTGTGGCTGTAGCTGTGGCTGTGGCTGTGGGTGTTGCTGGGGCTGTGGCTGTGGCTGGAGCTGTGGCTGTAGCTGTGGCTGTGGGTGTTGCTGTGGCTGTGGCTGGAGCTGTGGCTGGAGCTGTGGCTGGAGCTGTGGCTGGAGCTGTGGCTGTGGCTGTAGCTGGAGCTGTGGCGGTGGATGTGGCTGTGGCTGGAGCTGTAGCTGGAGCTGGAGCAGAAATGTTGGACAGTAGTAATTTGTGGAGATGGACAGACTCCCATTTTTTAGAGTTTGTTGGAGACAAAGACGTGTGGTACATCACAGCTAAGTTATCAAGCTCTATCAAGCTCACACAAAACGATATGAAAACATAAAGTATTAGGTTTTTGAACTTGCCCAACACGGAAAATCTAACACTAATGACGCATCATAGATTCCCTGAAGTGGCAATTTGTCTCATAATTGTTGACTGCTTTCAGGTGAAAAATGAACATAGAAAGAACTTAAAGCTTGTTACTTTTTGCTGTAGAATGTTTGTGACGTTTGGGTGAGATGATTACTGTGCACGTTCTTCCAAACACCTCATTTAAGTATTTATTCCGTCCCATTTCTGTGCATGTACAAGCGAGCTCATATTTATCAATGATTAAATGTAACAAAGTGGCCAGACACGACAACAGTGTGAAGGATCTTTACAAAAACAAAGGAAAGACGAAACAACTCAAATGTTTCCCCACTTACTGTACATTATGATACATTCTCATAGTTTATTTTAGAGCTATTAATATGTGCGAGTAATGGTGATGGGAGGTTGGATAAGGCCGTCAGGCTTGGTCCGGTCGCAATGAATGCTCTCAGCTCACGGCTGCTCCTGCTGTTTACACTGATGAAGAATGGCCACACTTAAGAGTGTGTTATCAGAGTGAGACGCACGCACACACGCACACACACGCACACGCAAACACACACACACACCCCCTGAGTATGCGCCTATCTTGGAGTCATGTCCTGTCCCGTCAACTGCCCATCAGTCATACTTAATACATACTACAATTAATTGTAATTTTTACAGTTGCTCCAAATGAAAAAAACCTTTTGAATTATCAGAATCAGAATCATTTATATTGCCGTGTAAGTAACAGGAAGTCACAGACAATGTCCTGGCTTCTCTGATTGTAGTGGGTTTAGCTCCCACAGTCCCATTCCTCCACGGTCTCTTCTCTTCACACTGTGTTTGTAAAACATTAGAGCCTCTGTGCAGTGCAGGAGCAGCTTCAGAACACAGACTGTTTACATTTTACCCTCAGTGTCACGTGACCGAGACGTACAGAGAGATCTGGTCACTTATCAAACTACAGGATTCATTCCTTGGCCCCAGTTTGAAAGTGTTTGTGGAGGTAGTGCTGTGGATGGAGGAGAATGGATATCCACAGAACTAAACTGAACATTGTTATTTGTAAATAAACATTTAGTACTTATTTACATGTAATACAAAATAAACATTTGTAAAGCAAATAAACACATTATCGGGCATTTCCCCGTGTAGCCACCGAAACCACCGAAAAACTACACTACCCAGCATGCCTGGCGCCGAGTGCGCCTGCGCTATGCGTGCCTCTGCTCTCTCATGTGTCAGCACGAACCAAAACAAACTATGGCACACATACAGCGCTCCACGCGTCTCTCCGCTACCACCCGTGCAGTCTACTACTGCTACAGTCCACCTGTATCTGTGGTTATGACCACGGTCACAGTGAGTGCTCTGGCTGCTGTGCGCTCTCACTAACTCACCCCACTACACCAGCACAAAGTGCCGCGGATGAGCCACACACACTGACCTAAACAATGCTGGTACATCGCTACGTTACTGCGCTGGGTGTTTTATGAGCTTTGTACATACCAACGGGCTGTGTGCTCCTGACGATGGCTTGGTTTGTCTGTTAATTGCATGTTACAGTCACAGGTGCGTTATGCAGAACTTAAAGATGCGTCACTGCGCCCGCCCATGAATGATAAATGTGAAGTAATCCATGAAAATAAATACTACTTTTCCCATATCCGTGACTATGCCCAAAGAACCAAACACCTCCCACTTGGCCGACTGATGTAAATCCAAGGAGGCCATTAAACAGTCACATGAGTCTTTAGTAGAATCTAGGCCAATCCGTAAGGGCGTTAGCAAATCATAAATCCTAAAGTACTAACTAAGGAGGTAGGCCCCACCACCTTGCCTCCTACCGAGTGTAGGTTTGCCCTTGAATCACTCGGCCGCCTCCCAGGGTGACCCACTAACTAAACACATTAAAGTCTTTTGGGCCCCCTGGTGAGGACTTCATACCTTGAGCTGGTCTTCTACCGGAATCAGCACGACCAATCTTCGTACATCTCTGCGTAGGACGACAGTAGAGGGCAAGGTACAGTCTCGTCTATGGGTCCTGGAAACACGGGGGGCAGGAAGGCCTACGCAGGTGGCGACGTCGACATCTCGTACCACTCCGGTCTTGTCCGGATAGGTGACGACAATCCGACCGAGCCGGAACTGTCCTCGCAGGGCATTCTGGTCAGCGATCCAAACTAGATCTCCAACTTGGACATTTCTTTCTGCTCTATGCCACTTGGGCCGGATAAACAAGTTTGGTCCTGCTAGTTCACTCCACTTAGACCAAAACTTGTCGACTCCTGCTTGGACCGCCCTCAACCTGCGCCAAGGGTGGGTGTCCAAGTTGACCCCGTGCATATCTCCAGCTCGTCCAGTGCGCCCTAGGATGAGGGAGTTCGGAGTCAAGTACTCCACAGTTTCCTCTTGCTCCTGCGCTCTGGCATCAATAGGTCGCTCATTGGTTAGGTTGGCTGCTGAGTACAGCAAAGTTTGGAACTCCCCCCAGGTATAGCAGCTGGTTGTTCCGCCGAGGCTATTGAGAGCTCTTTTCATTAGTTTGACAGCTGCCTCTGCTGCTCCATTTCTGTGGGGCGAGTCAGCGGGGTGGAAGACCCACTGCCATTCAGTTCCATTTTTTGCTGCAATGTCCTCGATCGACACTTTCTGCAGACTGTCCAAGTGCCTGTGAAGGTCTCTTAGCGCAGATTTGGCACCCACGAAATTTGTGCCCCTGTCAGACCATAACTTCCATGGATGTCCTCTCAAAGCGGTGAATCTCGAGTACGCCTGAAGAAAGCTCTCAGCTGACAGGTCGTCTACAAGATCGGCATGGACAGCTCTGGAAGCCATGCAACAGAACACGATACCCCAGACCTTTTTCATGGTCCGTTTCTTGACCGCATCTCTTACTTCAAAAGGACCGAAAAGATCCAGCGTGGTAAACTCGAATGGGTTTGCTCTGTGTGTGCGCTCAAGGGGAAGATCGCTCATTTGTTGTTGGCATAGCCTTGCTTTCTGCTTCTTGCACGTTATGCACTCGTTGATCACCCTCTTGACTATCCTTCGGCCTTCTATGATCCAGGCCTTTCTTCTCGTGCGCAGTAGTGTAGCAGCAACCCCTTCATGATTAGCCTTGTGAGCTTCTCTAGCCAGCAGAGTACCCAACCACGATTGGAAAGGTAGCAATGGTACCCCTCTACTGTCCTCTTTCCATGATTGGATTCTTCCGCCACAAAGCAAGAGTCCTGTGTTTTCATTTTTGGTTACAACAAGGCGGTTCAAGGTTGTAATTTTGAAGTCTATGCCACTCTGGGCAGCAAGGACCAAATCTTGAAAAGCCTCTGTTCTTTCGTCTGCAGACAGTTTTGAACCGTTTGCCTCCCACTTTGCTGGCTTCAAGGCTTTGTTCTTTGTCCTCAGCCATGATTCTACAGCTCGTCGGACCCAGGCGACAGTTCCACATAGTTTTGACAAGCTGCCAAATCGTTCTAACTCCAAAAGACTGATAAGAGCCACGCCCCACGCCTTTCGTTTTGGCCATGTTATTGTTTGAAGAGGACTTTTGTCTTCTGGTTGTTGTTTTAGTGTTCTGACTTCGACATTTGAACTTTCACCAGCTTTACAGAGTCCCAATTCTTTTTGCGACTGTGCTCTAGTCATTACAGCAGAGAATGCTTTTCTTTGTAACCTTTTCACTTCAACAGCAACTTTGGTCACGATCTCACCGGCCGTCTTCACAGGCCAATCAGCTTCAGGACTTTTTAGAAACTCAGGACCTTGCTGCCATTCTGACTTCTCATCAAGCTCTTCAGGAGTGGCTCCCCGAGTGACGATATCAGAAATGTTGAGGTTACCGTCCACCCACCGCCAGTCTTCTACTGGTCCAGCCAATTGTATCTCACCGATTCGATTAGAGAAGAATGTTTGGTAGCCATAACTGTCCTTCTGGATTGCCCCCAAGATAGTTTGGCTATCCACAAAATGGACCCAGCGCGAGACCTCCAGGCGGCAATGTTTCTCAAAGTATCTTTTTAGACGAGTTGCGAAGACAGCGCCACATAACTCAGCCTTGATTACATCCCCTTTCTGGTCGAGAGGGGTTAGTTTTGCCTTTGATTCGACAAGCCTCACAACAACCCCTTCTTGCGTCTCCCAGCGGAGATAAAGCACAGCACCGTAGGACGCCTCACTCCCATCAGAGAACGTAATACCCATGGGGTGGCCCACGGCTCCAAAGGGTGTGAGGCATCTTTCAAACCTTATCTGGCCAAGTCTCACATACCCCTCAAAGAGTCTTATGGCAGCCTCCCGGAGTTTTGGCGACAGTGGGTCATCCCAAGTGTCCTTACTTGGATTTCCTATCCTTGCTTCTTGGTAAGCCTCCCTTACGAGCATTACTCCCTTTTGTTTGGCTGGTGTGGCAAGACCAATAGGATCGTAGAATCCTGCGACCTGACTTAGAAGTGTCCGACGGGTTAAAGGGTCGGGAGTGTTATGACGTACTTCATCTTCTTTTAAGTCAATGCCAGTCCTCATCTTTCCTCGTTTCTTTGAGAAATTTATGGACGTCATTACACAAAGTTTGTCAGTCTCTGGTTCATAGCCAACACCCAGTGCTTTGTTTTCCTCGTCTCGTATCTGATTTGGCAATACCAAGGTTCTAGGCAAAGACTTCCCATCGTTACTGGAACTTGCCTGGGTTTCTGACCTCCCACTTTGACCCGTCAACACCCACGGTTTTAGGGAGAAGCCGCCAGACTTTAAGATCTTTGCGACGCCTTTGGTGATCTTCTCCAACGTCTGGAGGTCATTGTGGGATGTCAGTATGTCATCGACATAGCTATCTTCTACCAGTACACGGCGCTCTTCCAGCATGTCGGCAAACTGTGGTAGGCTCGCAGTCTCTCTCATGGCAACCTGAGCGATGCACCCTGCAGGTTTATCCCCAATGTTCACTCTGCCTACAGCGAATGTCTGGATTTCATCCTCTGGGTTGTCCCTCCAAAGGAATCTTTGGAGGTGAACTTCTTTGTCCTTTAGCCATACAGAATTATACATTTTCTTTACGTCCCCTAAGGCGGCATATAATCCTGTCCGGAATCTTAGAAGGACACCTCTAATTGCATTGAGGACATCTGGACCCTTGTACAGAAGGTCGTTCAAGCTCACCCCACGAAACTCTTGGCTGCTGTTCCATACAATCCTTACTGGAGTAGAAGACGAGTGTGGATTAGGTGCCACTAAGTGGCTGATGTACCACTTCGGCCCCATCCAGCTTGCGAGTTCTTCTTCAGTTAGCTCAGTTGCAGCTCCTCTTGAGATCATGTCACGGATTTGCTCCTTATACGCAGCCTTCCACTTCGGCTCCTTCTCAAGACGTTTCTCTGTGTTCAGGAAAGTTGCCTTTACTGCATGTCGGTTATCTGGTAACATTGCAGGGTCACCTTTCCATGGATATGCAGCGTCCCAGTGAGGAGAGTTGCTGTGTCTGTCTGCTTGCACGTAGGTGAGACATTCTTTGATCTTTTCAAGTTCTCTTTCCTCTCCGAGTGTCATTTCTTTGCCACCAGGGGGACATCTACCGCACTTACAGCCACCACACCGGGGGTCACAGGCAGCACCGACACTGTCCCACTTGAACCACTCAAAAGCTTCTTTGCTCGTGACTGCAGTACTCCGGAAGATGGTCTCTTCTACTTTGGCAGAGTCAGTTGAATTGACAACGACTTCTCTGTACACTTTTGAGGCTGATCTCATGGAGCGAGCAAAGTGCGTTTCAGACTTGTACACTGCAAAGTCTACTTCCTCGAAGAGGTCTGGATGAGCCCCACCGACAGTAAGTCCAAGAGGACCATCCCAAAGGACGAGGTCTCCTTGTACTTTGATTGGCTGTGGGACCAGGCGGCCTTCTCTGTGACTTATCAGAAGGTCGATCTTCTCGGGGCGGACCAAGTCGTTAGCAGCAATGTCAGGAAAGAACTTGAGAAGCTGCTGTGGTGTCACTGCCTGGTTCACTTTTGCGATGTTCTCCAGACCGTAACACAAGAGCTTATGCTCTGTCACTGTGCCTTTCTGAGTTTTTACTCTTAGTCTCAGAGTATACCTTTTGGTTGCAACCGTTTTCTCCATTCCTCCAACTCCTTGGACAATCAACTTGACCTTCTCGCCTTTCAGCTTTAAACGTTCAGCAGCATCGTTCGAGATGTAATTAGTGTCTGAAGCAAGATCGATCAGAGTACCAACAAGATGGCCTGAATTTGTTGTCACAGAAAGTAGCATCATCACGACTGGGTACTCTTTTGGTTTACTTTCTGATCTTGTGCACACTGTCGTTGTGATTTTGTTTGAGAAGGCTTCTTTGACCTCTGCTTTCAGTTCTGGAGAGAGTTTGGCGAGAACTTCTTCTTGTCTTTCTGTTAATCCAAGTCCTTTCATTTGTACTTTGACCTTGCTTTGTTCCACGTTCTTTAATTCTTTCATCTTTGTTTGTGGTGGCAACGGACAGAGTAAGTAGTTGTGGTCTGAGGCCCCTCTTTTTTGACAGTCTTGTTTAGAGCATAGAAACCTCTCGGTGCACGCACTGTCTTCATCATGGAGGCGCAAGCATCTGAGGCATGCTCCTATCTTTTTCAGTAGAGCTTTCTTACTCGACAGGTTGAGCCTCTTGAAGGCTTTACAGGCAAAGAGTCTTCCTTCATGCCCTTCCTCTCTGCAGACTATGCATGAACTTGACAGAGCATCCTTTTGGGTTGATGTTGCCTTTGTGAAGGCTTTCCTTTCTTTGGATTTCTCCCCTGGCCTCTCATAGTCTTTTGAGCAGGGCTGTAGCTGATCCAACTCTTCAAGAATGTCTTCCTGTTTCTTCAGGTACTCTAGTAGACAGTCAAAGTTGGGGGAAAAGCCGCTCGAGGGGTCATTCTTGTGAGTTAGCCACTTCTCCTTTAGTGAGTCTGGAAGCTTACTCTCAATCGACTGTGCCACTAAATGATTTTTCACTGCGTCTTCCTCCCCCAGGACTTGGAGGTCCCTGAGAGCCCTTTCAACAGCTTGAATTAGTTCAATTGTCTTTCTAGGGTTGTTTCCCTTGACAGGCGGTGGTAACCCGTGGACTTCTTTTGAGATAAGTAGCGCTATTTTTGGCCTATTCCCATATTTGTTGTCGAGGAGTCTGAACACGTCATTGGCAGATCCACAGCTGGACAGCACAAGGTCTCTTTTGACTCTGTCATCTAAGCTTCCCAATAGGTGGAACTTTCTTACGTTTTCCAAGCCATGAGGGTTCCCCAGCTGCTGCAGGTCTTCCCACTCAGCTTTCCATCGGTAGTAATCCCTCATGTTAACTGAAAACGTAGGCAGACGTGCTCGTTCCAAAGTGATTTGGGGCTTGAAGCTTAGTGGCCCTGGGTATATTGTGTGAGCCCCTTGAGCGTGAAGCGCACCCTCACTGACAGAGGTGGGCGCGCTGGTTGGGTTACGCTGGGCTCCACTTATGGGAGTGTGGCTGTCTTGGGGACGGGACAGTTTATGGTCAGGAGCAGGAACAGAGCTAGTAGATGCTGATGGCTCCATGGTCTGGGCTGCCATATCTACGTTTACTTTCGCCTCTTCTTCATCAGACCAACTGTTACGTCGCCACGCCCATTTATCCCACAGTTTCATTTGCCGCTTTCTCAGCCGCCTGCATGAGTCTCTTGATTCCAGAAGCTCTGCATGAGGAATTAAGTCTGACCACTCAGTCACTAAACTGTTGACTTCAAAGACGTCTCGTTCCAGGTCTTTGTTGATCAGCTCCCGCTCCATCCTAGATAGCAGTTGATAGTCCTTTACTTCGGCCTGATCCAGGGCTAAGTTAGCCTCCTCTACAAGATCGGAAATGTGATCCTTTGCAAATCTAGTCCATAAGTTGTTTAGGACGAGGAGTTTAACAGCGTCAAACTTTTTATCACATTCGTGCGTTCGCTCGTCAATCTGATTCGCCTTTACACTGGCCTCTTCGTCTTCTAGTTCACGTAGGGCTGTGGAGTACTCAAATCCTAAATCTGTGACTCTGTTATGATCCTCTTTGAAGTTCCTCCACTCAGCCTTAAGATCCCCTTCTTCTAGAGCATTGACCCTGGAGGTAAGATTGTTTGCCTTTTTGGTGAACGCGGCCTGGGCTGCCGTACGCTTCTGCCGCAGCCTTTCAATCATCTCCTTATCTGCCATCTTGACAATTTGCTTTATCCTTTGAATTTGCTTTATCCTTTGAATTTGCTTTATCCTTTGAATTTGCTTTATCCTTTGAATTTGCTTTATTCTTTGAATTTGCTTTATTCTTTGAATTTGCTTTATCCTTTGAATTTGCTTTATTCTTTGAATTTGCTTTATTCTTTGAATTTGCTTTATTCTTTGAATTTGCTTTATCCTTTGAATTTGCTTTATTCTTTGAATTTGCTTTATTCTTTGAATTTGCTTTATTCTTTGAATTTGGAATTTGCAAATCAGATGAGCAGGTAGGTGTAAAGGGTTTTGCTTTAATAACTGGGAGGCCAGACCAGATTTATTGTCTTGGTCTTCAGGCTGTGTATTGGCATCAGAACCAGGCCACAAGTTTCACTGGTGGGCCACTGGTTTATGACTGTTCGGACTTTTTATGTTATAGCCCTCCGAAGGGGCTAACGGCAGGCAGCACACATGGCATGACTCGTGTTTGTCATATCTTGTTAATTTATTAGAACAAATGTTTGACCACAGGTCATAAACCTGGAAAGAATACAGAAATAAACAATTACCACTAATTGTCCCTTTAAATTATCTGCCACTAAACTGAACATTGTTATTTGTAAATAAACATTTAGTACTTATTTACATGTAATACAAAATAAACATTTGTAAAGCAAATAAACACATTATCGGGCATTTCCCCGTGTAGCCGCGGCAAACCACCGAAAAACTACACTACCCAGCATGCCTGGCGCCGAGTGCGCCTGCGCTATGCGTGCCTCTGCTCTCTCATGTGTCCAGTGTTGCCAACTTAGCAACTTTGTCGCTAGATTTAGCGACTTTTCAGACCCTATAGCGACTTTTTTTCAAAAAAGCGACTAGCGACAGATCTAGACAAAGCATTAAAATCATTAAATGTTGTTAATGTTGAAATTATTTGTGTACATTTGTAGTTCTAAACATATTTAGGGTGTTTTTTACTCACTTTTGTCTCTCCCACGACGTTATTCCTCTCTCCTACAGCGTCCGTTACAGTTATTTGCAAATAGCCAATTATGCAAATTAGGCGATGACGTCATTTAGCGACTTCTAGCGACTTTTGGGACAGCCAATAGCTACTTTCCTTACTGAGGAGTTGGCAACACTGCATGTGTCAGCACGAACCAAAACAAACTATCGCACACATACAGCGCTCCACGCGTCTCTCCGCTACCACCCGTGCAGTCTACTACTGCTACAGTCCACCTGTATCTGTGGTTATGACCACGGTCACAGTGAGTGCTCTGGCTGCTGTGCGCTCTCACTAACTCACCCCACTACACCAGCACAAAGTGCCGCGGATGAGCCACACACACTGACCTAAACAATGCTGGTACATCGCTACGTTACTGCGCTGGGTGTTTTATGAGCTTTGTACATACCAACGGGCTGTGTGCTCCTGACGATGGCTTGGTTTGTCTGTTAATTGCATGTTACAGTCACAGGTGCGTTATGCAGAACTTAAAGATGCGTCACTGCGCCCGCCCATGAATGATAAATGTGAAGTAATCCATGAAAATAAATACTACTTTTCCCATATCCGTGACTATGCCCAAAGAACCAAACATAAACTATGTTATTGATACGTCACCTCCTCATTGGGAAAGCAATGGGCCCTTTGCCCAGTTGGGACTCGAGCCTAATGAAACACAATGAAAAGATCTGTGGAATTGCCAACAGCACAACGAGCACATGGACAGAAGCTGAGACCTTTCCATTTGGCCAATGTTTCATACGTGCTTCTGTTTGCAGTGTGTGATGGAAGCCTAAACAGTCCTTATATAAACCTATTGTGACGTGAGTGAAGTGGACATAAGCAGCTCAGAGAGTCCAGAGAGAGCCCCGGGCAGAGGCTCATGACCTGGGTCACTACAGGAAGGATGTGGTTAGGACAAGCATCCTGGTCCCTGTGCTGCTGCTGCTGCTGCTGCTGCTGCTGCTGCTGCTGCTGCTGCTGCTGCTGCTGCTGCTGCTGCTGCTGCTGCTGCTGCTACTGTTGCTGCCTACTGCTGCTGCTGCTGCTGCTGCTGCTGCTGCTGCTGCTACTGTTGCTGCCTACTGCTGCTGCTGCTGCTGCTGCTGCTGCTGCTACTGTTGCTGCCTACTGCTGCTGCTGCTGCTGCTGCTGCTGCTGCTGCTGCTGCTACTGTTGCTGCCTACTGCTGCTGCTGCTGCTGCTGCTGCTGCTGATACTGCTGCTGCTGCTGCTGATACTGCTGCTGCTGCTGCTGATGATACTGCTGCTGCTGCTGCTGCTGCTGCTGCTGCTGCTGCTGCTGCTGTGCTGCTGCTGCTGCTGCTGCTGCTGCTGCTGCTGCTGCTGCTGCTGCTGCTGCTGCTGCTGCTGCTGCTGCTGCTGCTGCTGATGCTGCTGCTGCTGCTGATACTGCTGCTGCTGCTGCTGCTGCTGCTGCTGCTGCTGATGCTGCTGCTGCTGCTGCTGCTGCTGCTGCTGCTGCTGCTGCTGCTGCTGCTGCTGCTGCTGATGCTGCTGCTGATGCTGCTGCTGCTGCTGCTGCTGCTGCTGCTGATACTGCTGCTGCTGCTGCTGCTGCTGATACTGCTGCTGCTGCTGATGCTGCTGCTGCTGCTGCTGCTGCTGCTGCTGCTGATGCTGCTGCTGCTGATGCTGCTGATGCTGCTGCTGCTGCTGCTGCTGCTGCTGCTGCTGATACTGCTGCTGCTGCTGATGCTGCTGCTGCTGCTGCTGTGTCTGTTATCTCACTCAAAAGATCACTGCAAAAAGTGACAAAGAATACGTGAAATGGCATGAATTAGTCATAATTGATCTTACAGAGACCACATGAGATATTTTCAGTTTCAGGTCTGCACCTAATTACTGAAATCCAAAGCCTTCTTCTTGATTCAGGCTTTTTAGGGACAAGATAGAATCTCTTGGGATTACTCTGATCAAATCCTTTCGCACACAGCACGATTAGGGTTGCTAACTTGAGAACAGAAAAAACAGATGTACCGTTTGGGTGAATCAGGTTGAGCACTTTTTAGTTGTCCTTGTTTCAGTCGACACAGGGATCATAGAATTTCATATTCAGGTTTTAGAATGTCATTTATTAACAACATATAAAGTTTTTAATGAACATCATCATGAACAATAACTGACCTATAACGGTGCAAAGAAGATAAATACAATTTACTCATATGTATCTAGTAGTAATTTATTGTTTTTATATTATCTTTTAGAAAAACAGGTTCATTATTTTACACTTTGTGACACTCTGTGTCTGGTTTTATGCATGCTAAAGATATTTTCTTTGGATATTCCATGAATTAACTTTGACCATAGCCTAACAAGAATTAGTCATTTCTAGTCATTAGTCAACTCTAATGAATCACTTTTTACTTGTAAATGATTTCACATTGTGAATAAGTGACTTCCTGCCTGCTATTTTAGAATGTTTTAGGCCTATAGTGTGTGTAACATAAACTCATTCAACTTTACTTATAAGAAAGTCAGAGCTCTGCCTCAGGTGATGAAGAATAGAGTGAGGTTGATCTGATTTTCACAGACCCCCGTGAGAAACACACAACCGCAAAAAGTACAGTTGTCTTTGTAGAAACGCCGTTCTCTGTAACCACGCTTCCCTCTCGTCTGTTCTTCTGTCGCTTTTGTTTCTTTCCTGAACCTGATGGTTCTCCCCATCATCGATTACGCTGACGTCATTTATCAAAACACATTTCACACCCATCTCAAACCACTCAATACACTTTTTAACTGTCTTTGTAGATTCATTCTCAAATGTCCATATCACACACATTTTCATTTCATTCATTTCAGTTTATTTATTCTTTATTTATTCAGAGTGCACACATCACTGCACTCTGTACGAGACCCTTCACTGGCTTCAACCTCACAACAGACGTCACCTTCACTGGATGCACTTATTATTTAAATTTATTCATTTTAGTGGTCCGCAGTATTTAAAACAGTTTTTTGTCCCCTTCTCTACACCTTTTTCACTCCGAAGCTCTGATTGTCTCACCTTTTCTTTTCCAAGAGTTTTTAAAGAAGTTGGACGCAGATCATTTCAATATAAGGCTCCATCAGACTGGAATAAACTCCCCACATCCATAAGATCCATTCTGTCTGTTGGTTTATTTAAGTTAGAATTATTTAGGTTTCTTGAAACTCCTTGTCTATGTCACTAATGTTCTGTGTCATTATTGTTAATAGTTTTACTTTTTTTTAGTATTTTTGTATTTTTTTTCCTATATGTTTAATTTCAGCAGAGGGGAGGAGTGGGGTGCGATGGAGCATTTGTTTTGTTATATTTTGTTGTTGATTGTTTTGTTTGTCTTTGTGTGTGTTTAATTAACTTTTCTCATCTTTAATTCGCTGTAAATTGCTTTTTGTGTATGTGTGTTTGTTTATATGTTTGTATTTATGTTTAGGACCCCCTCGAAAATGAGATGATTCATTTCAAGGGGCTTTCCTTAATAAACTTAAACTAAACTTAAACCTCTGAGTTGAACGGGGGCTCTCTGGTTCCGAGTCTGTCAATCATTCTGTCGGTCGTGCCTCTGCCGTGATACAAAAGTTGTCCCTTATCAATTCAAAACAGGTCGCACAGTTTTTTCTAAAATATGGGACAATTTTTTTTTTTTTTTTTTTTACTACCTTTATTTTAAGGGACGTTTGTTGCACTAAAATGTGGATTTGAAGAAAACTGATCAATGGTTAGGGTTAGGGACACTAAATCCCCACAAAATCTGACCTTTATGAAAGCTGTAGGTTCTCTGTCAGGTTCTCTGTAGGTTCTCTGTCAGGTTCTCTGTCGGTTCTCTGTAGGTTCTCTGTCAGGTTCTCTGTCAGGTTCTCTGTAGGTTCTCTGTAGGTTCTCTGTCAGGTTCTCTGTCGGTTCTCTGTAGGTTCTCTGTCAGGTTCTCTGTCAGGTTCTCTGTCGGTTCTCTGTAGGTTCTCTGTCAGGTTCTCTGTAGGTTCTCTGTCAGGTTCTCTGTCGGTTCTCTGTAGGTTCTCTGTCAGGTTCTCTGTCAGGTTCTCTGTAGATTCTCTGTCAGGTTCTCTGTCAGGTTCTCTGTAGGTTCTCTGTGGGTTCTCTGTCAGGTTCTCTGTAGGTTCTCTGTCAGGTTCTCTGTCAGGTTCTCTGTCAGGTTCTCTGTAGATTCTCTGTCAGGTTCTCTGTCAGGTTCTCTGTAGGTTCTCTGTCAGGTTCTCTGTCAGGTTCTCTGTCAGGTTCGCTGTAGGTTCTCTATCAGGTTCTCTGTCAGGTTCTCTGTCAGGTTCTCTGTGGGTTCTCTGTCAGGTTCTCTGTAGGTTCTCTGTCAGGTTCTCTGTCAGGTTCTCTGTCGGTTCTCTGTAGGTTCTCTGTCAGGTTCTCTGTAGGTTCTCTGTAGGTTCTCTGTCAGGTTCTCTGTAGGTTCTCTGTCAGGTTCTCTGTCGGTTCTCTGTAGGTTCTCTGTCAGGTTCTCTGTAGGTTCTCTGTCAGGTTCTCTGTAGGTTCTCTGTCAGGTTCTCTGTCAGGTTCTCTGTCAGGTTCTCTGTAGGTTCTCTGTGAGTTCTCTGTAGGTTCTCTGTCAGGTTCTCTGTCAGGTTCTCTGTAGATTCTCTGTCAGGTTCTCTGTCAGGTTCTCTGTCAGGTTCTCTGTCAGGTTCTCTGTCAGGTTCGCTGTAGGTTCTCAATCAGGTTCTCTGTCAGGTTCTCTGTCAGGTTCTCTGTCAGGTTCTCTGTAGGTTCTCTATCAGGTTCTCTGTCAGGTTCTCTGTCAGGTTCTCTGTGGGTTCTCTGTCAGGTTCTCTGTAGGTTCTCTGTCAGGTTCTCTGTCAGGTTCTCTGTAGGTTCTCTGTCAGGTTCTCTGTAGGTTCTCTGTCAGGTTCTCTGTAGGTTCTCTGTAGGTTCTCTGTCAGGTTCTCTGTCAGGTTCTCTGTAGGTTCTCTGTAGGTTCTCTGAAGGTTCTCTGTCAGGTTCTCTGTCAGGTTCTCTGTCAGGTTCTCTGTAGGTTCTCTGTCAGGTTCTCTGTAGGTTCTCTGTCAGGTTCTCTGTAGGTTCTCTGTAGGTTCTCTATCAGGTTCTCTGAAGGTTCTCTGTCAGGTTTGCTGTAGGTTCTCTGTCAGGTTCTCTGTCAGGTTCTCTGTAGGTTCTCTGTCAGGTTCTCTGTAGGTTCTCTGTCAGGTTCTCTGTCAGGTTCTCTGTAGGTTCTCTGTCAGGTTCTCTGTCAGGTTCTCTGTAGGTTCTCTGTCAGGTTCTCTGTCAGGTTCTCTGTAGGTTCTCTGTCAGGTTTGCTGTAGGTTCTCTGTCAGGTTCTCTGTCAGGTTCTCTGTAGGTTCTCTGTCAGGTTTGCTGTAGGTTCTCTGTCAGGTTCTCTGTAGGTTCTCTGTCAGGTTCTCTGTAGGTTCTCTGTCAGGTTTGCTGTAGGTTCTCTGTCAGGTTCTCTGTAGGTTCTCTGTCAGGTTCTCTGTCAGGTTCTCTGTAGGTTCTCTGTCAGGTTCGCTGTAGGTTCTCTGTCAGGTTCTCTGTAGGTTCTCTGTCAGGTTCTCTGTAGGTTCTCTGTCAGGTTCTCTGTAGGTTCTCTGTCAGGTTCTCTGTCAGGTTCTCTGTCAGGTTTGCTGTAGGTTCTCTGTCAGGTTCTCTGTCAGGTTCTCTGTCAGGTTCTCTGTCAGGTCCTCCGTCAGGTTCTCTGTCAGGTTTTCTGTCAGGTTCTCTGTCAGGTTTTCTGTCAGGTTCTCTGTCAGGTTCTCTGTCAGGTTATCTGTAGGTTCTCTGTCAGGTTCTCTGTAGGTTCTCTGTCAGGTTCTCCGTCAGGTCCTCCGTCAGGTTCTCTGTCAGGTTTTCTGTCAGGTTCTCCGTCAGGTTCTCCGTCAGGTTCTCCGTCAGGTTTTCCGTCAGGTTCTCTGTCAGCTGAGGTCGAGCTGGTTTAGTTTACATTGAGTTCTATGGGGATAATTGTAATAGATCCATGGGAAAAACACAAACCAAACACTTAAAGTAAAGTAAAGTAGGTCACGAAAATGAATCATGCCATAAAAAATGATTAATATTGATTTAAATTAATTAGTTAATAACACAATGTTTTGGACAGCACTGATCAAAACGAAAGAGTTTGCATATTATGTTTACTTTAAATCATTTCAAGTGGGTAGACCTCTTTATACTATTATTTTTCCAAAGGATTTATTATGTTCCATATTTGAAGCATCCCTTGTGTGTGTTTAGGGTGCAGCTGGCGGACCTCATCCTGGTGGTGGTGGACTGTGCTCAGATCCCCTCAGACCAACACATTGTGCCTTTCCTCTCGAGCCACCTCCGGGACGTCCTTCCCTCCCAGGACCCCAGCCACACCGGTAACAGACACATCTCCTTCATATCATAACGGTGATAGCTTCTCCAATAACTCCCTGCTGTACAGAGTCAAATTTAACCAGGAAAATACCCATTGAGATCGAGATCTCTTTTTCAAATACATGGGCTTGAAAGATAATCAGTAGTTGTGTCTTTTTTATTATGGTAGAAAGTGTACATTTTAAATGTGTGTGTGGTCTCAGAGCGGTGTGTGCTGGTGCTGAACAAGCTGGACCTGCTGACCGAGGCCAGCCGACAGAGACTGCACTCAGAGCTGAGGGTTTGGGCGGCTGCTGTGTGTGTGTGCTGCGTGTCCTGCCACACCACAGAAGGACTTCCACACCTGTTGACCGAGCTGCAGCTCCGCCTCAAGCATCTGTGAGTATGTCCAAGATGTGAGCATGCTTCTGTCTGCTATGATCAACACGCTCATTAGTATACATTTAATACATTTTAAATATTCATCTAAAACAATGTTAGAAATTATAGATGTCTATGCAAGGGGCTGATACTGATCATTAGATCAGGGTTTGGAAAGTGGTGCCCTCAATCACGAGACAGACCCCATTCAGCTTATTAATATAACTATACATGCTACTATTGTGCTTGAATGAAAGACTAACCAGACACAGGTGATAGACATGAGGGCGGGGCAGATAATCAAACAGGAAGTAAGACACAGGGGTTAACACATTACAAAATAAAACAGGAAATTAATCTAAACCATGAATAATAACAATTGTAAACCGCTTTGAGACTCTGATGTGCAGTGAAAAGGCCGTATATAAATAAAGATTACTACTACTACTACTACTACTAATGACAGTACCCCACTTCCAAGGGACCGCTCCCAGATGTCCCAAAAACAAAGAAACAAAACCCGACCCAGGGAGGGTGGAGGGCCGAGGGCCGAGGGCTGACCCAGGGAGGGTGGAGGGCCGAGGGCCGAGGGCTGACCCAGGGAGGGTGGAGGGCCGACCCAGGGAGGGTGGAGGGTGGAGGGCCGAGGGCTGACCCAGGGAGGGTGGAGGGCCGACCCAGGGAGGGTGGAGGGTGGAGGGCCGAGGGCTGACCCAGGGAGGGTGGAGGGTGGAGGACCGAGGGCCGACCCAGGGAGGGTGGAGGGCCGACCCAGGGAGGGTGGAGGGCCGACCCAGGGAGGGACCAGAGGCACTGAAAACCTCAGCTCAACTGCAGGATCCGAACAAATCAGGGGCTGGAGCTGAAGCCCGGTTGTGACCTTCCATGCAAGGAACTGGCCCGGCGGTGACTCCACCCTGGGATGGACAGAACCATCCCAGGCGGACAGCGTTGTCTGGCGGTGGCAACAGGTGAGGTGAAGGAGGTGAAGGACGGAAGGCAGACACAGGTTCCAAGCGAAGTGTAAGCATCCCGACCAGAACTCCACGGGTCCCTCAACCGGTCAGGGGGAGTGGAACAGAGGACCACCCCGGGACGGAGGAGAATGCCCTGCAGTGGTGCAGGACAATAAACCACCTCAGACGGAAATCTTGCCTGGCGGTGGTTTTTGGGTCACAGGTAGAGTGGTAGGTCGTGAAGATTGCTGGTGGCGAACTGGGAGCAGGTGTGGAAGAAAACAGCATTCTGCAGAGTCCTTCCCGTGGTTCCGTAATTTAAAAAACAGACTAACGAGACACAGGTGGTACACAAGAGGGCGGGGCAGGTAACCAGACAGGAAGTACAACCAAAGAAGACACAGGGAGTAACAAACTACAAAATAAAACAGGAAATACATCTAAACCATGATAATTTAGTTGATTATGAATGATAAAGCAAATACTTGTGTCAAGCAATTTTTTATGATGTATTAATTAAAATGACATTAGAAACTCTTGCCCTGGCCCTGATTAGAAGTCTCCATCCCTCAGTTCTCCATAGCGTGTATCGCTCCTTTAACATGGCAGCTTGGAGTCATTTGTGGTGATTGTGGATGAGGTTCTGGATCCTTTCTGATGGTAAAGCTGCCCAAAAAACCTCCAGGAACGTACACTCAAAGTAGACTCAATTATGTTGTAATAAAAAAAAATGTTTGTCAATAAATTGTTTCATACAACCACCACCGATCATTCACTAGTCTCCGATTTGAATGAATGAATATCTTGTGTATCTCTTCAAGGTGTGGTGACCCTCTCTCCGGGGGCCCCTCGCTCACCCAGGCCCGGCACAGAGCTCACCTCCAGCAGTGCGTCTCCTCCCTGCACCAGTTCCAGAGCTACAGGCCGTCTGACTTGGCCCTGGCCGCTGAAGGGCTCCGCCTCGCACTCACCAGCCTGGGCCGCATCACAGGACGGGTGGGCCCCGAGGAGATCCTGGACATTATCTTCAAGGACTTCTGCATCGGAAAATAACCAGAGCTCACGAGTGTGTGGTGAGAGGACACAGATGTTAGACCGTCAGAGGAGCGAGCTACAGTGGTGATCCTGGACACTCTACTCAACATTCAACAACATTTATGTTAAATTATGCACATTTTTCATTATTTATGCATATTGTTGCATTTGTTCAACTGTTCATTCTCTGATCTGTGTTGGCAAATTCAACAGTTAATTGCTACAGTGCCTTGCGAAAGTATTCGGCCCCCTTGAACCTTTTAACATTTTGCCACATTTCAGGCTTCAAACATAAAGATATAACATTTTAATTTTTTGTCATGAATCAACAACAAGTGGGACACAATCGTGAAGTGCAACGAAATTTATTGGATAATTTAAACTTTTTTAACAAATAAAAAACTGAAAAGTGGGACGTGCAATATTATTTGGCCCCTTTACTTTCAGTGCAGCAAACTCAGTCCAGAAGTTCAGTGAGGATCTTTGAATGATCCAATGTTGTCCTAAATGACTGATGATGATAAATAGAATGCACCTGTGTGTAATCAAGTCTCCGTATAAATGCACCTGCTCTTTGATAGTCTCAGGGTTCTGTTTAAAGCACAGAGAGAACCATGAAGACAAAGGAACACACCAGGCAGGTCCGAGATACTGTTGTGGAGAAGTTTAAAGCCGGATTTGGATACAAAAAGATTTCCCAAGCTTTAAACATCTCAAGGAGCACTGTGCAAGCAATTATATTGAAATGGAAGGAGTATCAGACCACTGCAAATCTACCAAGACCCGGCCGTCCCTCCAAACTTTCATCTTAAACAAGGAGAAGACTGATCAGAGATGCAGCCAAGAGGCCCATGATCACTCTGGATGAACTGCAGATAACTACAGCTGAGGTGGGAGAGTCTGTCCATAGGACAACAATCAGTCGTGCACTGCACAAATCTGGCCTTTATGGAAGAGTGGCCATTTCTCAAAGATATCCATAAAAAGTCTCTTAAAGTTTGCCACAAGCCACCTGGGAGACACACCAAACATGTGGAAGAAGGTGCTCTGGTCAGATGAAACCAAAATGGAACTTTTTGGCCACAATGCAAAACGATATGTTTGGCGTAAAAGCAACACAGCTCATCACCCTGAACACACCATCCCCACCTCAGCTGTAGTTATCTGCAGTTCATCCAGAGTGATCATGGGCCTCTTGGCTGCATCTCTGATCAGTCTTCTCCTTGTTTGAGATGAAAGTTTGGAGGGACGGCCGGGTCTTGGTAGATTTGCAGTGGTCTGATACTCCTTCCATTTCAATATAATTGCTTGCACAGTGCTCCTTGAGATGTTTAAAGCTTGGGAAATCTTTTTGTATCCAAATCCGGCTTTAAACTTCTCCACAACAGTATCTCGGACCTGCCTGGTGTGTTCCTTTGTCTTCATGGTTCTCTCTGCGCTTTAAACAGAACCCTGAGACTATCAAAGAGCAGGTGCATTTATACGGAGACTTGATTACACACAGGTGCATTCTATTTATCATCATCAGTCATTTAGGACAACATTGGATCATTCAAAGATCCTCACTGAACTTCTGGACTGAGTTTGCTGCACTGAAAGTAAAGGGGCCCAATAATATTGCACGCCCCACTTTTCAGTTTTTTATTTGTTAAAAAAGTTTAAATTATCCAATAAATTTGATTCCACTTCACAATTGTGTCCCACTTGTTGTTGATTCATGACAAAAAAATAATTTTTTATATCTTTATGTTTGAAGCCTGAAATGTGGCAAAATGTTGAAAGGTTCAAGGGGGCCGAATACTTTCGCAAGGCACTGTATATAAGTACAATCAATGTATTATTATTTGTATTATGTCAGCAACGTTATACCACGCACTGCCTTCATCTGATCCAAGAGATCTGTGGGACTGATTCTTCTCACGTCAACCCTCTGCTCTCATCAAGTGTTTATATATAAGGACAGGTCCAGCCTCTGCACACCTCCTCCGTCACCAAATGAGGACATGCAAAGTCAACAACATGTGTGTAAAGATTGTAGGCAGAGGTGCTTTTGGGGAGAAAGTGAACTCTGCTTCGCTGAACAGCTTTTAAAACATCATGTAATCGTTGTCATTTAACATATGAAAATACATGCTTTATGAAGCTGTCTGACGCAGGAAAAACGCTGAAAATATCTCTCATTTGGCTTTGTGCAGTTGAGACGTGCACGCGCAGGTGAGTTTGGATACGTGTGCAAACATGAGCGTGTGCAAACATGAGCGTGTGCAAACATGAGCGTGTGCATACATGAGCGTGTGCAAACATGAGCGTGTGCATGAGCGTGTGCAAACATGAGCGTGTGCATACATGAGCGTGTGCATACATGAGCGTGTGCAAACAGGAGCGTGTGCAAACATGAGCGTGTGCAAACATGAGCGTGTGCAAACATGAGCGTGTGCAAACATGAGCGTGTGCAAACATGAGCGTGTGCAAACATGAGCGTGTGCATGAGCGTGTGCATACATGAGCGTGTGCATACATGAGCGTGTGCAAACATGAGCGTGTGCAAACATGAGCGTGTGCAAACATGAGCGTGTGCAAACATGAGCGTGTGCAAACATGAGCGTGTGCATGAGCGTGTGCAAACATGAGCGTGTGCAAACATGAGCGTGTGCATGAGCGTGTGCAAACATGAGCGTGTGCATGAGCGTGTGCAAACATGAGCGTGTGCATGAGCGTGTGCAAACATGAGCGTGTGCAAACATGAGCGTGTGCAAACATGAGCGTGTGCATACATGAGCGTGTGCAAACATGAGCGTGTGCATACATGAGCGTGTGCATACATGAGCGTGTGCATACATGAGCGTGTGCATACATGAGCGTGTGCAGACATGAGCGTGTGCAAACATGAGCGTGTGCATACATGAGCGTGTGCATACATGAGCGTGTGCATGAGCGTGTGCATACATGAGCGTGTGCATACATGAGCGTGTGCATACATGAGCGTGTGCATACATGAGCGTGTGCAAACATGAACGTGTGCATACATGAGCGTGTGCATGAGCGTGTGCATACATGAGCGTGTGCAAACATGAGCGTGTGCATACATGAGCGTGTGCAAACATGAGCGTGTGCATACATGAGCGTGTGCAAACATGAGCGTGTGCATACATGAGCGTGTGCAAACATGAGCGTGTGCATACATGAGCGTGTGCATACATGAGCGTGTGCAAACATGAGCGTGTGCAAACATGAGCGTGTGCATACATGAGCGTGTGCATACATGAGCGTGTGCAAACATGAGCGTGTGCATACATGAGCGTGTGCATGAGCGTGTGCATACATGAGCGTGTGCATACATGAGCGTGTGCATACATGAGCGTGTGCAAACATGAACGTGTGCATACATGAGCGTGTGCATGAGCGTGTGCATACATGAGCGTGTGCAAACATGAGCGTGTGCATACATGAGCGTGTGCAAACATGAGCGTGTGCATACATGAGCGTGTGCAAACATGAGCGTGTGCAAACATGAGCGTGTGCATACATGAGCGTGTGCAAACATGAGCGTGTGCATACATGAGCGTGTGCAAACATGAGCGTGTGCAAACATGAGCGTGTGCATACATGAGCGTGTGCATACATGAGCGTGTGCAAACATGAACGTGTGCATACATGAGCGTGTGCATACATGAGCGTGTGCATACATGAGCGTGTGCAAACATGAGCGTGTGCAAACATGAGCGTGTGCAAACATGAACGTGTGCATACATGAGCGTGTGCAAACATGAGCGTGTGCATACATGAGCGTGTGCAAACATGAGCGTGTGCAAACATGAGCGTGTGCAAACATGAGCGTGTGCAAACATGAACGTGTGCATACATGAGCGTGTGCAAACATGAGCGTGTGCAAACATGAGCGTGTGCATACATGAGCGTGTGCAAACATGAGCGTGTGCAAACATGAGCGTGTGCAAACATGAGCGTGTGCAAACATGAGCGTGTGCATGAGCGTGTGCAAACATGAGCGTGTGCATACATGAGCGTGTGCATACATGAGCGTGTGCATACATGAGCGTGTGCAAACATGAGCGTGTGCATACATGAGCGTGTGCATACATGAGCGTGTGCATACATGAGCGTGTGCATACATGAGCGTGTGCAAACATGAGCGTGTGTCTCCTCTGCAGTAGGACCCCTCGGTCCTCTCAGTGTCTCCTTTGCAGAGTAGAACCCCTCGGTCCTCTCAGTGTCTCCTCCGCAGAGTAGAACCCCTCGGTCCTCTCAGTGTCTCCTCTGCAGAGTAGAACCCCTCGGTCCTCTCAGTGTCTCCTCTGCAGTAGGACCCCTCGGTCCTCTCAGTGTCTCCTCTGCAGAGTAGAACCCCTCGGTCCTCTCAGTGTCTCCTCCGCAGAGTAGGACCCCTCGGTCCTCTCAGTGCCTCCTCTGCAGAGTAGAACCCCTCGGTCCTCTCAGTGTCTCCTCTGCAGAGTAGAACCCCTCAGTCCTCTCAGTGTCTCCTCTGCAGAGTAGGACCCCTCGGTCCTCTCAGTGTCTCCTCTGCAGTAGGACCCCTCGGTCCTCTCAGTGTCTCCTCTGCAGAGTAGAACCCCTCGGTCCTCTCAGTGTCTCCTCCGCAGAGTAGAACCCCTCGGTCCTCTCAGTGTCTCCTCTGCAGAGTAGGACCCCTCGGTCCTCTCAGTGTCTCCTCTGCAGTAGGACCCCTCGGTCCTCTCAGTGTCTCCTCTGCAGAGTAGGACCCCTCGGTCCTCTCAGTGTCTCCTCTGCAGAGTAGAACCCCTCAGTCCTCTCAGTGTCTCCTCTGCAGAGTAGGACCCCTCGGCGACGTAAGGAGTTTCGATCGCAGCATTATCAATAATTATTTATTCTATGGGCAGAGCTGCTCCGGTTGTTGTGGTATTTGAGTTTGTTGAGGCCTGTGGGGGAGGTTTTTGCAGTGGAGATGTTGCCCCCTCAAAATGACCATTGAGTCCAAAGGGTTCGTTTTATCTTTTATTTCGGTCTCAAAAGAAAAATAAGAATAAGTAAAGGACAAGAGTCGCACACAAGGTCCCGCATACAGCCTGGCAGGCAAAATGCCTCTTTACTGCACACCTGTTTCTGATTAGCACCAGAGGGATATATTTAAAGCAGAAATCACGTGAGCTTGAGGGGTAGGTCATATAATAGATATTCCTACAATAATAAAATACAATTAAGAGAAAACAGTGTAATTTAGTGAATGACATGGTATAAATATTGTTATTTACAGTGTAAGTAGTAAGTAAGTAAGTTTTTATTTATATACCGCCTTTTCACTGCAGATCTGAGTCTCAAAGCGGTTTACAATTGTTAATTTTTGGGCATTTGTCTCTCACTCCACACAGAGATGGGAGCAGGGTCGCCAGTACAGGAAGCCAGAACTATTAGACATATTTTTAGTGGTAGGGGAAACCGGAGTACCCGGAGGAAACCTACGCAGACACGGGGAGAACATGCAAACTCCACTCAGAAAGGCGCTGGTCCGGCCGGGATTCGAACCCAGGACCTTCTTGCTGAGAGGCGAGAGTGCTATCCACTCAGCCACCGTGCCGCGTACAGTGAACTGTAATCCATACCAATAAAACCCTAAAGTGTTTAGTGCTATACAATACAAATAAGTACAATACAAATAAGTACAATACAAATAGGTACAATACAAATAGGTAGAAATGCAGGCGGCAGCAGACACACACTAACGGGGCTGTCCCTGTAAAATTACCCCAAAGTTCCTGTGGCAGAAACGCACACAGTAATGCACGTTGGTTGTGCCAAAATGTAAAATCTTGTGAACAAATCAAAAAGAACAAACCACAACAGACCCTCTTGTAACTTTTTTTTTTTCTGGGAGGGGATAGAATGTTTTCTTTTACCTGAGGGGGGCCCGAGAGACAATGATTTAGAAGCACTGGTTTGTCTGAAAAATGAAGATGTCTTGGTATGGCCCTTTGTTCAGAGGTTTCTGTTATTATCATGTAAATTACACACTTATATGTCAAGATAAATAAAGTAGATGAAGTGACATTTAGTGGACATTCTGGATTCGCAGTATTTGTACATGTTTGCAGTATACTGTGTGTACAGATGAAACGTATCCATAATAATAACCCATTCCAAAGTTTCCAGAATGTTTGCTTTGACTCTAAATGCATTTTAAATGTATATTAACTTCCAAGCTCCTTTGATGTGGGATCCGTTCATCCACGTTAAGGAACCAGACACAGTCTCTATTCAAGGCCAGGCTTAAAGCTTTCACTTTAATTTATCATATTGTCAGGTGGTAAGACTTAAACATATACAGGTACCATATTACATATTATTTTATCTGCTTTAAACATCATGACAGTGCTTTTTGTCCTTCGTGCACTTGCCCAGAGTAGTTTTTCATTGATTCCTTTAGTAAAGAAGCAATCTTTCTCTTTCTTTCTCGAGAGGCAGCGAAACGTCCAGGTCCACATCTGACAAACATGTGTGTTACAGCTTTTGCTGTCACAAAGTCATTTCACACCTGAGGATAAACTTTTTCCAACAATGGCTCCGTCACAGAGAGCTCTATGTCCTCGATCCAGAATCAGACCTAATTATTTAGTTCACACTGACATACAGAGAGTTAGCATCACTGCACTCACCGAGGCTCCTGTTAGCTTCTTTATGTTGGAATAACACCAGGTTTCCAGATCAGCTCTGAGTAGGTCCCGTTTCAAGGTAACTGTAGTGCTGGAACAGTCTTTGCTGAAGTCACCGTCACTCGCAAAAAACATCTTTGTGAGTGACGGGTTTGACGTGGATTTCAGACTCGCAGATAGATCCCCATTCTCCGTCTTCAGCAAAATACTCTCGTCACATATTTACACCAACTACACATTTTCTCCAAGTCACATGAAGCTGACACAAGAAAGCACAGACGCTTGTTTACAGTCTATGGACCACAGGCCGGCCTCGGAGAGAGGCTGCAGCTGACCATAGACGGGACTGACACCCTGGTTCAGTTTCTCCCTGCTGTCAATCACCTCTTGGAGGGTTTTGACGTCACGGATTGGTGCATGTCACGATTTGAAACAGTTTGTTTCTGTGCCTCTTGAGAATGAAAGAGAAAGATCGCTCTCTGACTAAAGCTTGAAGGAATCAATGAAAAAACTACTCTGGGCATGTGCATGAAGCCCAAATATCCCTGTAATCATGTTTAAACCAGAGAAAAGTCAAAAAGCGTAACACGGTCATCAAATACACAATAAATATACTGTTTACTGCCAATGATAATGATCACAATGACACTTTTCAAATACACCTCATTTTCTCAGCTTTTTGTCTGAAGCCTGGTTCACACGAGACGATTTTAAAATTGTCGACCGTTATTCCAAACCTGAGAGACCACACACACAGATAAAAAGTCAAGGGTCTAACTTCTTTGGTCGTGCAGTGTGTGGTGCAGCGACACGACAAAACCACACAAACCACACACATCACACACAAACCGAGCATTCCCAGGTCAGACGGAAATCTCACAAAATCTGTGGAGATCAAGCGTGACTTCAGAGTAAACAGGCGATGGTCAGATTGCTGGTGTTCGCTCTGTTGTGGAATTTCTAAGGAGTGAAATACACAATATTAAATATATAATAAACAACAAGAGCTGTAATTCAAATCAAAGTGTGGTTTATTATCTCAGTAAATGTATACATATACAGGAAATACAACCGTGTAACCGCGTGGCAGGTCTCGAGTAGATCTGCTGAATAGTGCTCATTCTCTCTGACATTTATAGGATGGAACAAACAGAAGAGTCTATCTATGGCGTCTCTGAGTCCGAGATTAAGCGGCAGCTATTGCCCAAACCCCCCTCTCTTCTGACGTCTTACTCTGATAGACTCTGATATTACTCTGATATTAGGAAGAATTGTCAGTATGACCGGTGAGCCTGCTCTCCTTGCCCCTGATATCAAACTAGTATCTGCCTCCACCCCGTCACTGGCCTCGCGTCTCTACAGAACAACAGTTTAGTTAGTTTCAATAGATTTACTGGCTTTGAACTTTGTCTCCGATATCCCATTTCATCATTAGATTCATTCTTAAGTTAAATTGATTTATAATCCCAGTAAGATTTCTATAACAGCTCGCCGCCTCGTCTCCTGATTGGCTACACACCGCAGTCCTCCTGATTGGCTACACACCGCAGTCCTCCTGATTGGCTACACACCGCAGTCCACCTGATTGGCTACACACCGCAGTCCACCTGATTGGCTACACACCGCAGTCCACCTGATTGGCTACACACCGCAGTCCTCCTGATTGGCTACACACCGCAGTCCACCTGATTGGCTACACACCGCAGTCCACCTGATTGGCTACACACCGCAGTCCACTGGCAGCTCGTCTCTTGACCACACTCAAAGAGAAATTGGGCCAAAACAATCCAACATGATGGATATTGCTGAGTCCTTCAGAGCGACGCAGTCTTAACACACCACACATGGAAAATACATCAGATTATTTTACAAACGTCAGAGCGTTTTTAAAGATTGTTCTCGGGGTGAATCAGGGCTTAAATGGGCCTCATTATCCTGCCGTGTGGACCAGGCTGAAGACTAGTGCTCTCTGTCACACTTCCCTCTTTTCCACTGCCGCTTCACGGGAGAACGAAGCTAGAAACAAACTTATGTCTGAGGTGGTGTCTGTGGTGGTGTCTGAGGTGGTGTCTGAGGTGGTGTCTGAGGTGGTGTCTGAGGTGGTGTCTGAGGTGGTGTCTGAGGTGGTGTCTGAGGTGGTGTCTGAGGAGGTGTCTGAGGTGGTGTCTGAGGTGGTGTCTGAGGTGGTGTCTGAGGTGGTGTCTGAGGTGGTGTCCGAGGTGGTGTCCGAGGTGGTGTCCGAGGTGGTGTCCGAGGTGGTGTCCGAGGTGGTGTCCGAGGAGGTGTCCGAGGTGGTGTCTGAGGTGGTGTCTGAGGTGGTGTCCGAGGAGGTGTCTGAGGTGGTGTCTGAGGTGGTGTCTGAGGAGGTGTCTGAGGTGGTGTCTGAGGTGGTGTCTGAGGTGGTGTCTGAGGTGGTGTCTGAGGTGGTGTCCGAGGTGGTGTCCGAGGTGGTGTCCGAGGTGGTGTCCGAGGTGGTGTCCGAGGAGGTGTCCGAGGTGGTGTCTGAGGTGGTGTCTGAGGTGGTGTCTGAGGAGGTGTCTGAGGAGGTGTCTGAGGTGGTGTCTGAGGTGGTGTCTGAGGTGGTGTCTGAGGTGGTGTCTGAGGAGGTGTCTGAGGTGGTGTCTGAGGTGGTGTCTGAGGTGGTGTCTGAGGTGGTGTCTGAGGTGGTGTCTGAGGTGGTGTCTGAGGAGGTGTCTGAGGTGGTGTCTGAGGTGGTGTCTGAGGTGGTGTCTGAGGTGGTGTCTGAGGTGGTGTCTGAGGTGGTGTCTGAGGTGGTGTCTGAGGTGGTGTCTGAGGTGGTGTCTGAGGTGGTGGTTGAGGTGGTGTCTGAGGTGGTGTCTGAGGAGGTGTCTGAGGAGGTGTCCTGAGGAGGTGTCTGAGGTGGTGTCTGAGGAGGTGTCTGAGGTGGTGTCTGAGGTGGTGTCTGAGGTGGTGTCTGAGGGTGGTGTCTGAGGTGGTGTCTGAGGTGGTGTCTGAGGTGGTGTCTGAGGAGGTGTCTGAGGTGGTGTCTGAGGTGGTGTCTGAGGTGGTGTCTGAGGTGGTGTCTGAGGTGGTGTCTGAGGAGGTGTCTGAGGTGGTGTCTGAGGTGGTGTCTGAGGTGGTGTCTGAGGTGGTGTCTGAGGTGGTGTCTGAGGTGGTGTCTGAGGTGGTGTCTGAGGTGGTGTCTGAGGTGGTGTCTGAGGAGGTGTCTGAGGTGGTGTCTGAGGTGGTGTCTGAGGTGGTGGTTGAGGTGGTGTCTGAGGTGGTGTCTGAGGAGGTGTCTGAGGAGGTGTCTGAGGAGGTGTCTGAGGTGGTGTCTGAGGAGGTGTCTGAGGTGGTGTCTGAGGTGGTGTCTGAGGTGGTGTCTGAGGTGGTGTCTGAGGTGGTGTCTGAGGTGGTGTCTGAGGTGGTGTCTGAGGAGGTGTCTGAGGTGGTGTCTGAGGTGGTGTCTGAGGTGGTGTCTGAGAGGTGGTGTCTGAGGTGGTGTCTGAGGAGGTGTCTGAGGAGGTGTCTGAGGTGGTGTCTGAGGTGGTGTCTGAGGTGGTGTCTGAGGTGGTGTCTGAGGAGGTGTCTGAGGTGGTGTCTGAGGTGGTGTCTGAGGTGGTGTCTGAGGTGGTGTCTGAGGTGGTGTCTGAGGAGGTGTCTGAGGTGGTGTCTGAGGTGGTGTCTGAGGTGGTGTCTGAGGTGGTGTCTGAGGTGGTGTCTGAGGTGGTGTCTGAGGTGGTGTCTGAGGTGGTGTCTGAGGTGGTGTCTGAGGTGGTGTCTGAGGTGGTGTCTGAGGAGGTGTCTGAGGTGGTGTCTGAGGTGGTGTCTGAGGTGGTGTCTGAGGTGGTGTCTGAGGTGGTGTCTGAGGAGGTGTCTGAGGTGGTGTCTGAGGTGGTGTCTGAGGTGGTGTCTGAGGTGGTGTCTGAGGAGGTGTCTGAGGTGGTGTCTGAGGTGGTGTCTGAGGTGGTGTCTGAGGTGGTGTCTGAGGAGGTGTCTGAGGTGGTGTCTGAGGTGGTGTCTGAGGTGGTGTCTGAGGTGGTGTCTGAGGTGGTGTCTGAGGTGGTGTCTGAGGTGGTGTCTGAGGTGGTGTCTGAGGTGGTGTCTGAGGAGGTGTCTGAGGTGGTGTCTGAGGTGGTGTCTGAGGTGGTGTCTGAGGTGGTGTCTGAGGTGGTGTCTGAGGTGGTGTCTGAGGAGGTGTCTGAGGTGGTGTCTGAGGTGGTGTCTGAGGAGGTTTCTGAGGTGGTGTCTGAGGTGGTGTCTGAGGTGGTGTCTGAGGTGGTGGTGTGTGAGGTGGTGTCTGAGGTGGTGTGTGAGGTGGTGTCTGAGGTGGTGTCTGAGGTGGTGTCTGAGGATAGTGTCTGAGGTGGTGTCCGAGGTGGTGTCTGAGGTGGTGTCTGAGGTGGTGTCTGAGGTGGTGTCTGAGGTGGTGTCTGAGGATAGTGTCTGAGGTGGTGTCTGAGGTGGTGTCTGAGGTGGTGTCTGAGGTGGTGTCTGAGGTGGTGTCTGAGGTGGTGTCTGAGGTGGTGTCTGAGGTGGTGTCTGAGGTGGTGTCTGAGGTGGTGTCTGAGGAGGTGTCTGAGGTGGTGTCTGAGGAGGTGTCTGAGGTGGTGTCTGAGGTGGTGTCTGAGGTGGTGTCTGAGGTGGTGTCTGAGGAGGTGTCTGAGGTGGTGTCTGAGGTGTGTGTCTGAGGTGGTGTCTGAGGTGGTGTCTGAGGTGGTGTCTGAGGTGGTGTCTGAGGTGGTGTCTGAGGTGGTGTCTGAGGAGGTGTCTGAGGTGGTGTCTGAGGTGGTGTCTGAGGTGGTGTCTGAGGTGGTGTGTCTGAGGTGGTGTCTGAGGAGGTGTCTGAGGTGGTGTCTGAGGTGGTGTCTGAGGTGGTGTCTGAGGTGGTGTCTGAGGTGGTGTCTGAGGTGGTGTCTGAGGTGGTGTCTGAGGTGGTGTCTGAGGTGGTGTCTGAGGAGGTGTCTGAGGTGGTGTCTGAGGTGGTGTCTGAGGTGGTGTCTGAGGTGGTGTCTGAGGTGGTGTCTGAGGTGGTGTCTGAGGTGGTGTCTGAGGTGGTGTCTGAGGAGGTGTCTGAGGAGGTGTCTGAGGTGGTGTCTGAGGAGGTGTCTGAGGTGGTGTCTGAGGTGGTGTCTGAGGTGGTGTCTGAGGTGGTGTCTGAGGTGGTGTCTGAGGTGGTGTCCGAGGTGGTGTCCGAGGTGGTGTCCGAGGTGGTGTCCGAGGAGGTGTCCGAGGTGGTTGTCTGAGGTGGTGTCTGAGGTGGTGTCCGAGGAGGTGTCTGAGGTGGTGTCTGAGGTGGTGTCTGAGGAGGTGTCTGAGGTGGTGTCTGAGGTGGTGTCTGAGGTGGTGTCTGAGGTGGTGTCCGAGGTGGTGTCCGAGGTGGTGTCCGAGGTGGTGTCCGAGGTGGTGTCCGAGGTGGTGTCCGAGGAGGTGTCCGAGGTGGTGTCTGAGGTGGTGTCCGAGGAGGTGTCTGAGGTGGTGTCTGAGGTGGTGTCTGAGGTGGTGTCTGAGGTGGTGTCTGAGGTGGTGTCTGAGGATAGTGTCTGAGGTGGTGTCTGAGGTGGTGTCTGAGGTGGTGTCTGAGGTGGTGTCTGAGGTGGTGTCTGAGGTGGTGTCTGAGGTGGTGTCTGAGGTGGTGTCTGAGGTGGTGTCTGAGGTGGTGTCTGAGGTGGTGTCTGAGGAGGTGTCTGAGGTGGTGTCTGAGGAGGTGTCTGAGGTGGTGTCTGAGGTGGTGTCTGAGGAGGTGTCTGAGGTGGTGTATGAGGGTGGTGTCTGAGGTGGTGTCTGAGGTGGTGTCTGAGGTGGTGTCTGAGGTGGTGTCTGAGGTGGTGTCTGAGGTGGTGTCTGAGGTGGTGTCTGAGGTGGTGTCTGAGGTGGTGTCTGAGGTGGTGTCTGAGGTGGTGTCTGAGGTGGTGTCTGAGGTGGTGTCTGAGGTGGTGTCTGAGGTGGTGTCTGAGTGGTGGTGTCTGAGGTGGTGTCTGAGGAGGTGTCTGAGTGGTGGTGTCTGAGGAGGTGTCTGAGGTGGTGTCTGAGGTGGTGTCTGAGGTGGTGTCTGAGGTGGTGTCTGAGGTGGTGTCTGAGGTGGTGTCTGAGGTGGTGTCTGAGGTGGTGTCTGAGGTGGTGTCATGAGGTGGTGTCTGAGGTGGTGTCTGAGGTGGTGTCTGAGGTGGTGTCTGAGGTGGTGTCTGAGGTGGTGTCTGAGGTGGTGTCTGAGGTGGTGTCTGAGGTGGTGTCTGAGGAGGTGTCTGAGGTGGTGTCTGAGGTGGTGTCCGAGGTGGTGTCCGAGGTGGTGTCCGAGGTGGTGTCCGAGGTGGTGTCCGAGGTGGTGTCTGAGGTGGTGTCTGAGGTGGTGTCTGAGGTGGTGTCTGAGGTGGTGTCTGAGGTGGTGTCTGAGGTGGTGTCTGAGGTGGTGTCTGAGGTGGTGTCTGAGGAGGTGTCTGAGGTGGTGTCTGAGGTGGTGTCTGAGGTGGTGTCTGAGGTGGTGTCTGAGGTGACGTAGGCCGTAGGGTGAGGAGCTCTTTCAGATCATGCAGACGGTAATGTACACAGTGACCTTTCACCTTTCTACCATTGTTGAAAAGTAGATTTACTTATGGACCCTGGGGCTTCGTCCACATCCAAGAGTAACTTTATTAAAATGAATGAAAGCTCTGAGAGTCGATTACTGCAGAAGTAGAAACACATCAAAAGCACTACACCGTCAGGAAGTGCACCGTTTAATGTCTACAACAGACACCCTGCTCTGTGTGACGGAACTAGCTTGATATGAACTAGCTTGATATGAACTAGCTTGATATGAACTAGCTTGATATGAACTAGCTTGATATGAACTAGCTTGATATGAACTAGCTTGATATGCTTTTTTAGCAGCTCAAGTGCTTAAAAGTGGAGGGGAAGTGTCTTTGAAGTGAGTGATTACAGAATATTAAATTGGATCATGCTGCAGTGTTAGCCCACAGGCTCACACGACTGGACACAGCACCTTTCCCAAATCACACCGCTGCGTACTCTTGAATCATTCTCACCGTATGACCTCCAAGTGTGAGCCTCCTCTGGGTGTGTGTGTGTTGTCCTAGGGCCTGTACCAGTACTTGGTAACTACAGACGGGTGACTCTGGCCTTGTCGTAGTCTGCTGTTTGTGGGAAAGCACTGTTTGAGAGAGAGAAGTGTGTGTCCTTTGTTCATCTGTCAATCTGCCCTAGATTAAATATTTATGTTTCCTCGCTAAGCCGCTCACCTCTCGCCCACCGCTGTCAGCTGTGACGACATTGGCGTGGGGCGCTGGCGTATGCTTTTGGCCGCGCTCTGGCTGACTTTTCCTCTTTCCGCTGCAGCTTGTCACTGCCCTTTCATGTCCTGCTGATAGATGACGGAGCGGGACGTGGGGATTTCTGTGTAGTAAATTACACAGCCCTTCTTCCTCTGTACCATCAAGCTGACGAGTACATTGTTCCTGGTTTGGTCAAAATGTAGGATCTATTTCAAGACATGACGTGCTTCTGGGTGGAGTGAGAATTGAACACATTATGTTCTGCACATCTGAATATCATTTCCCTCTGTGCCTGAATGTTTAAGTACAACAATGTTGAGAGAACAACTCCACAGTACAAAATCATATATACGTGCATATGTCAGGTGGCACAGGTTTAAAACCGACAACGCCACCTATAGGAATCCTCTAAAACACTTAAAACAAGGCAAGCAGTGTAACCAATCAAAAAAACCCCTAGGATGATCTTAAGAAATAATTTATTACAAAAACTAAAAACAGTGGATAATGATGCCAATAAGAAAATAAAATAGGAGCTCGTTAAAACTGGTGGGGGTGTGGACGGCCGGCTTGCACGTGGGCTGGTTCCAGCTGTGTTGTGGCGGAGTCTCTGTGGGGCAAACAAAGCCAGAGGCAGTAACGCGTTCCTTTGATCGTATAGGGCTCAGAGTCATGCAAAGTGTATCCCGCCAGAGTACTAGAGCGTTACTTACACGCAGGGGCAGAGTTACTCTGCCCGCCTGCTGTGATCAGCGTCGTACTCTGGCTTCACCGGTGCTGCCGTCTTCGATCTGTCGCTCCTCCTGCTCTCCGTAGTCCTGCCCGTGCCCTCGTCAGCCAGACCGTTCTGCCTTCATGCCCCGCTCCTCGTGCTCTTAATGTCTTACTGTCCAATAAAATCCACCCCCCACGCCACCAGCACCCCAGCTCATTGGGTAAAACTATGTTAACAAGGTCTGTCACAGGTGCGAGGGTCCAGGCAATTCAAACAGGAAGTAAAAAGCACAACAATATACAAATAGTAAAACACTTCAAAATAAAAGTACAAACACACAGCAACGTCAAATATGCAAATTTATCATCCTGTGACACATACATATTTCGACTCTCATTCATTCAAAGCAGACGAGAGGATAAGGGACAGAAAGAAGCAGCGGCCCCTAGCCCCTGCCCCAGCAGGGTACTCTGTCTGCCCTGGGGGGCTTCAGTGATAGACTGATCCACTCACTGTGTGAAGAAGAGGCTTCACTTCATTGTTCATTGGTCTTCAATGAACACTGCTGACCTGACCTCATCTGTGCCATATTATGCAATAATAATGCAATAATGTCAGTGCAGTATCCAGGGACAGTGGACCACATGTCTCACTTTGTTCTGAGCCAAGGGCACTTTCTTATCCATTTGGACATGTTTCAGGAAAAGATAAAGACAGTATGTTGTGGCCTGAATGGTATTTGCTAAAATCTTTCCGTTGGAACAAATCTTTTTCAAATCTAACAGGTTGTAGTTGGGAACCAAAAACATGTCCCAATATTTAATGAAAATGAATTAGACAGAAACCACATTCTTTCATGAACAAAACTACTTTTTTAGCTTTCTTTCATTCTTCTGTAATCCCCAGCGGCGTAGAGTCTGAAATGACCAGTTTCAGACAAAAAAAAGGTGTGAACAACAGTGACGTGTGTGTTTTACTATTTGTTTAGGAGACACCGGGGAAGACCCAGGACACACTAAAGCAGGGGCCTGGGGGCCTGGGGGCCACATACAACCTAATTGGATTTCAGCTGGGCCGGACCAGAACATTCTGTGCATTAATATCCCAAAACAGTAGAAAGTCCAACTTTTTGTGCACATAAACACATTTATTTAAAACACTGTCCTTTAATACTCTCAGTTTTAACTGTAAATCTGTAACAAACTTTAATGTAACGGTGAGTTTTTCACATTAACCATCTTCAGTGTGGTAAGGTCCATGGTTATGTTATTATCACATTAACCATCTTCAGTGTGGTTAGGTCCATGGTTATGTTATTATCACATTAACCATCTTCAGTGTGTAAGGTCCATGGTTATGTTATTATCACATTAACCATCTTCAGTGTGGTCAGGTCCATGGTTATGTTATTATCACATTAACCATCTTCAGTGTGGTAAGGTCCATGGTTATGTTATTATCACATTAACCATCTTCAGTGTGGTACGGTCCATGGTTATGTTATTATCACATTAACCATCTTCAGTGTGGTCAGGTCCATGGTTATGTTATTATCACATTAACCATCTTCAGTGTGGTACGGTCCATGGTTATGTTATTATCACAGAGAAAGCATCAAACTGACCACGATGCCGTTTAAATGAACAAAACAACTTCCATCACGTGATCCACTCTTAACGACTGCAGCAGTGTCTCTGTGTGAAATACAGAGAAAAATCATCACCTCCATTTGTGGCTTGAACATTGTCACACCTGCAAGAGCAACAAACACCAGCAACAAGCACCAGCAACAGCACCAGCACCAGCACCAGTGCTTATAGTGTCCTCAGCTGTTGTGTATCCAACTCAGGCACCAAAACTAAAAGCTCCTCTGTGATAGTCAAAGTCTCATCAACAACACGAATGAACATACAACACTGTAACATCAGTCTCATCAATGGCATCAAAAACAGTAAAACATGACTTCAATTTGCATTTAAATTGACTTTCCATATCTGTAGCTCGTTCTGAAATGCTTTCTGCTGCACCTGGACAGACTGATGTTGGTTAAAGCGTGTCTTTTCTCAGGACTCTTATTAGGAGTATTTCAGGAGTATTTCTGTAGTCTGTATGCGAGGTTTGACAAACTCTCCCTCACTGTAAGGCTGCGATGACTCTCTGCTTAGACTGCTGCCCCCGCGACCCGGCAGCGGATGAAGCGGAGGAAAATAGAAATGAAAATGTTTTAACTTTAGTTTCCACCAGGTGTTGCAGAGACCACATTTTCTTAGTTTTGATATATTCATTAAATGTTGTATAAATGTCTGCACAGTCGTGAGTGCTCTGTTCCTCTGAGGTCCATCACACGGGGCTCCTCTAACGGGAACGTGAGGCCCCTCAGGAGGACCACAGTCGGTCTTCTCGGTCTTCTTGGTCTTCTCGGTCCAGGGGACAAAGCTCTTGGAAGTCTTAAGCCCTCAGCTAAAGCTGAACTCTGACTGGGCTGTGATTTTTTAAAACAAACCAGTTGTGTGAGCATTAATGATTTGGAGAACACCTGCTTTTGTATAATGTGAACATTACTGGTTGATATTCGTTGTAGTGCGGCCCGTTATCAGCCGAGGATGTGGGCGCACTGGTATAGTTGTCTTCTGTCTTTTTAACTTGTATGTCTTGTCCTTTTTTGTGTAATGTTGGACCATGAGTCCGTAATAAAAGCTTCATTCATTCGTTCATTCATATAATGTAAAATGTGTTAAAAGCCCTCCCAGGGACGGACAATTCAAATTAGCCTTGGCTATAAATGTGTTTCACAGGTTGCACTTGTCCCGATCAAATGATTAAATAAAATACATTTATTGACACAAATACAGTCTTCCGTTCTACAAAACACACAGAGACCTGTTGAGTTTTGCTCGAATATTTCAAAAAGCCTTTAATCAAAATGGTCAGTATTCATCCTTTATGCTATCCTTGGCGCTATCTTTTTGACAACAACAAAATCAAAGTCACAGAATAACAAGTTGAAAATGACAAACATATAAATGACAATAACCCAAAGTGAACAAACAAGATACATGTTTGGTTTTTGCCATCTGCTGCCTCCACCGGGATCACTCCTGGAGTTTACCTTTACTGCTTCTTCTGACACAGATTAAAGCCTGTTCCAGTGCTCTGTGTCCTGGGTGCAGCTCTGACTGCCACCCCCCGACCCAGAAATGGATTAAGGGGAAGAAAATGGATGGACGGATTTCACAGACCAAGGTACAGACCCAAAGGTACAGACCCAAAGCTACAGACCAAGCTACAGACCCAAAGCACTTTCCAATGTTCAGAGTCAGATATTGTTCCAATCCTTCCACACACGGTGATGACAGAAGCGAGTCCAGAACACACTGGACCATCAAAGCCTCTGACCCAACACCATCATTCACTCTCTCATTTACATTCAGACCTATTGTGCATGTTTTTAGTTTTTAAAATAATATATTTAGCCAAACCCGATACATATAACAAAGAATGGAG